CTTATGACTTTTATCCAATAAAAGTCTGGATTGCTCCATTAAGATGTCAATTTGACTAGACAACTCATTAGAAAAAAAAGGCTCATGAATTTTCACTTTGAGAGATGAACATCGAATACATGAGCGCATAACAAATTTTTTCAAACTCATAATAACTGCTGAAAAAGTAACTAAGGGTGAGATTTGATAACTTCGGGTTTTGTTTTTCCAAACTTCATTTGACATCCGAAAAAGGAAATGATTGTGAAATAATTCAACAACAACACTTTGCAAACTGAGTTCAACATCGAAAGAAATAAAAGACCTAAGTAAGATAAGTATGTGTGAGATTCATTACATATCACTATTTTCGCTTTTAAAAGTGAGTCCAACGTTGCAAAAAACCCTATGTGAGATTAAAAAAGGGGACCAGTTTGACAATTGAGTTCGACGTGGCAAATGGAGCTTATTCCCTTTAAAATAACATGAAACTTACCCACTTCATACATCTTCTCCCATTATTGCACAGTACTCTGCAAATACCTCACGGCGTAAAGAATCATCATTATCCGTAAGCACTAAGTCAGCTACCGGTTGGTGTTCTTCATTATAGACTCGCTCAGCTTCGCGTTCGTTCTGATTAGGAAGCCCGTAAGAAAAGGATGTGCATTCATCTTCTTTCAACAAGTAGTTGTGAAGCAAGCAACAGACCATCAGAAGTGCGTTCATGCGCTTCATTGATTTTTGATTGCGTAATATGAGTCTACACTCTTTCATCATCTGAAAACGTGATTTGAGCATGCCATTGACATGCTCTATCACAGTTCGTGCCTCACTAAGCTCTTTGTTAAACGAGTTCTTGAGTCCCGGAAATTGACAGGTGCTGTTCTTTTTGAAGAGAGGAACAGTGCATTTCGATGCACTGTATCCAGAATCCGCGACTAAATATTCACCCTCGGTGAAGTAGCGACCGGGGTGACACCAAAGCTAAACAATCAATTAGCTTGTGTGTGGTAGTTTAAAAAACAACTAAACTTACCGACGACGTTCTGAGAACTCGTTGATCATGAACGCTTCCACACCATCCGTGGCGCGCAAACGTGATTCGCCGGCGATTATCGCAGACAATCATTGAATTGAGACCATAGAAGTATTTTCGGGTCCAATAATCCTCCTTGCAGATCACTGGGCCAAAAGCTAAGGGAATTAAAGTCCCATCAACAAACCCACAAACCCTTCAAAGCTGGGGATCCTGAGCTATCTCGTCCCTGATCTTGACACGTTCGATTGGCAAAGGCCAGCTAAGATACTCATTCTGCAGTTCGAGAATTGCTGCTACACATCGCCATGTGTAGTTTTCGACACTGCCATCTGAAATTGGTACGTAAGTCAGTAACGGAAAAGAGCTCAAATATTTATAAACAAGAACAAGACCTGAAACCCCTAATAAACGGCCAACGAGGGACACTTGTCCTCCATTTCCCGAAAGGCCAATGTTTGCTAAGGCAACCATGAGTTGCAATTCCACACGTGCTTGAGGATTACTTGATGAGTTTTCAAAAACCTTGCTGCTTTCAATCTTACGTAACAGGGTAATGAAGTTGACCTTCTTCATTCGCGCCTGACCATATCATCCAAGGAGACTTTAAAACTTATTCAAAATTATTTATAAAAACAAGAGACCTTACCACTTTGAGGAAGATCACCTCTCCACCGTTCATAAGACCATGGAAGAGCTCGTATGAAAGGTCTCGATTGCGGAGAGATCTTGAAGTGAGGTATCGCTGGTTTTCAACACGCTCGAGCTCGCCTAACCATATTTCAACCTCATTGATCTGCATTTCCAAGTCGTCAAGTTTATGAATACTTCGATTTTTCAGAATGAAACCTAAAGTCGATCGAGTGATTGGTGTAAGTGGGAGATCGGGTAGTAACTGAGGCAGGAGGAGCATAATCGATAACAATCTTGAGGTGCTTGAGGGATGTTGTGGTGATGAAAGACGAAGTGTGTCATCCGTAGGGTGAGCAAGCAAGTGGCGTGATACTGATTTCAGAACTTGCAGGACTTGACGTCGGGCTGAGACTCGCGGCATCATGAGGTGTGAGTGATGTGAGGTTTGGTTTCAAGGACGGCAGTGCAGCGCAGTTGGGTTGGCCTATACGGGCCAGGGCTCTGGAGGTGTCCCAGAAGTCCTGGATGTCACTTCTGGGAACTTCTGGGATGAGTTTCTGGAGTTTTGAATACCCCTAATACAAGCGATACAACGCTGTAGTGCAATCACAAAGTTAGACTTTGTATTTGGAGGGGGCCTCCCTCATAGGGCTTCACAGTTTTGAAGCAGCAAAAAGGCGTGTAATGAAAAACTATGATTTCACTACAGCGTTATATCACTTGTATTGTAATTACACGGTTCCCAATTTTTCTGTTCAACATTTCAACTTTTCCCTAGTTTGAAGGCACCTATTGTGAAAGCTTGCAATAAATTCAGCAGGGCTTCTTCAAGCTCTTCTGCTCCTCCTAGTACTATTTTTAGCCTGTCACCACTTCTAGCTTGTGAAGAAAGTTGATTCCAATACCAAGTGATTCTGATGGGTCCAGCACGCATGTAGGCGCGCTTGCTGAGTATGACCCAGATTTGCACAAACTCAACAGCTCAAATTTGACACTTTGCTCAAGTAAAGCAATGCTAAAAGTGGCACAAGTGTGTATAAGGCTTATACAGCTGTTTGCAGAAAAAATGCCATCATCCAGTTTTTTATTTTTTTTATTTTTTTAAGTTGCACTATAAATTACCAACGCAGATTCTACACAAGACCAGCTGCACGTCATGATGTGCTAATTGTTAAAGATTGTACAGAGTCTCCTCACCAAAGGTTGAGAAAGCTTGTGCATTTCAGATACAAAGGCAACATTACTTGTGATCTTTCACAAACTTCACACCCTCGAAAAAGTTGAGTACAGCCTACTACAGCTCTTAGAGCACCCACTATCATGAGGGTGATTTATCGTAAATTTTGCGTTCCCGAGCGCGAAACTTGATCATGCGTGTTTTACCAAAGATGGTAACCGCATGAAATCCACTATCAGATGATTTACCGTCTGCTTTACCTGGTTCCTACGATAAATCAGGGTTTAAGCTTTTGTAGATTTGAACAAGCGCAACGCAAAATTTGACGCAGTTGTAGGGACCGCAAGTGTAAAACAGGCCCATAGTGGACCTGTGTGTAACTTAGCGGTAAAGCTACAATAAATCACCTCGTTACCGCAACCATAGTGGGTGCTCTCATTGTAGAATCTATGTTGGTAATTTTTAGTGCAACTTGAAAAAAAAAAACTGGACAATGGCATTTTTTCTGCAAACAGCTGTAAGAAGCCAGACTGAACTTATTGCAAGCTTTTACAACATTTAGAGCCCTCAAAAAAGGGTTTTAAGTGAACTTAACAAAGTCCCACACTCGCGCATCCCCATTGGTAGTCATGAAACAATGTGAATTGTTGAAGACGTTGAGTATGAAGAAGGGTGTTAGAACAATAGCAGTAGAAAATACAAGTTGGAAGGGCCTCCTGACAATGAAACAGGCAAAATGATGATAAATAAATAGACAGGTCAGAATCCCCCCTTGCAGCAGAAAGGTAGAGCAACAGAAAATTTTAACAAGTCAAACAAAAAAGACTATCAACAGGAGAAAAAGGAGATGTAAGGCTTTATTGTGCACTACTCTCTCTATTTGTATTCAATAACTCATCTTTTTCCTATCAATTCCTTTCTAAGGTAATACAAGGGTAAGTTGGGTACAACTTTCCTTGTTTATGAAATTCTGAAGCCATGCTATTGGACAGGCCTTTGAAATGAATAAAAAGATAAATATTTATGAGTGTCATGAAGCACAGGTGATCATGACTGGAGAAGACAGCCTCTTTCAAGGACCTTTTGGTGTGTGGGAATAAACTGACGGTGGGCAGAGAACACAGGTATTTTATATCAGACCACAACATGGTCAAGATTGGTACGAGAATAGAACCACATATTGAGATGATTTCAGGACTCTCAAAACATTGACCTCTAATGTATCAAGGCTAAAAACAAGCAAGTTTGAAAGAAGCACATCTTATCTGCTTCTGAGGTTTCTTGAAGATGCAGGAGAGGGTAGTTCTCAAGGAATGGAGATCAATCTGGGTTCTTCTGACATCTTGCCTGGAACAGCTGGGTATTGTCTTGATGTGCTAACCAAAACTTGGTCAGTTATCTTCTTATCTTTTGCTGATAGATGTGTGCGTGTAGGTTGCTAAAAGAATATATGTTGAGTGGCAAGATGTTGGCTGAGTAGTCCTTGGTGTGTAGCTGTTTTCTGCAATGGGGATTGCTGCTGATTCTCATACACCATGCCTGTCCCCCATGAGCACGTTGATATGCTCACACGGAGAGTTGTGTAATAAATTTGAACGGATCTTTATTCAATTTGTCTCTAGAAAATGCAAATCCTTTGTTAATAATAATAGACAATCAAAAATGTACCGTTTGTCAATGGAACTATGAACAAAGGAGCCCATTTAACACTCTTGCTGTCTGAACCTCTTGACAAAGGCAATTGTATGCTTAGCTCTCAGACCTGTTTGTAGGTTATATCCAGCCTCTACGGAAATTGATTGGTGTGAGCACGTCAACATGCTACCTCAAAACAGACATGGTGCATAGAGGGAAGCTGTCCTATTGGGTATCCTGGGGGTCAGAGCATTGCCACCAACAACCGTGGTCTGCCAATGAACATAAGAGTCTGGTAAGATGTATTTAACACTTCCAAGTTGTGATCCACCTCCTCAAGCAAGCATTAGGTTAATTGTACAGCTCTTCACAAATTTCTTGAACCCTTGAAGAGCTGTACAATTAACCCAGATGTTTGTCTGACTGTCTCTTTGTCCAACATACACAAATTTATTTCAAAGAAGCACACAAACTTCACTGAACTCTTGATCACTTCAAAAGAAACAGAACCACACCTCAAAACCGCATAAGTAATCTGACATCCAAAAAAAACATGTTTCATATTCCAATAATCATTAATCATTACAACAAGCATTCTTAAAATCAAAAGAAAAGATACAAAACAAAATACAAAAGTAAAAGAATATACAACTGACTAAACCTCATGAATTAGAAACTTTACAAAACTTGTGATTATGTAGATTCATCCATTGATCATCATCATAAATTGGTATCAAAACAACCAAAGTGTTTCTATATCATCATTATCAGTCACTTCAAGTACTGCACCATCAAATCCAATCAATCCTACAAACAAACATAAACATCAACTCAACACTCATTTGATCATTCATGTATGTACTATAGGGGAGATCTCTTACTTACGTGTAGGTTTCTGTAATGTTAATCCATCATCCATTACATCTGCTGTACGGTCCAAGACCATAGCAGGCTCTACATATGTGGCAGCTGGAGCGGAATCAGTTTCACCTGAACTCTTTGGGGTATGATTTGAATGTTTTTGAGTCCGATGAGACTGATCGGAAGTTGAAGACCTTGGGTGTGTTGATCCTTCACCTTTGATATATCGAATTATAGAAGTACACTAATAAATTCCCAAAGTTAAAAAAAATTATCAGATCAGATCTCTCCTTGTACAAAAAAAGTTAAATTATTGATCCAAAAACCAACAAGAGAAGAAGATCAGAAAGAAAAAATAGATACCTTTTCAAGACTTGAGATGGCTTCTGTTGCTGTTGGTCTACAAATTGACCAAGGACATCTTGAGTATCTAGCAAAAAGTACTTCACCTGGAATATTTGAATGTAAGATAATCTTAATAACCACATTTGAAATTGGATCGATCAAAAAATCGAGACCTAAGTTGTAATAAGACATGAAATAAGGATTGGCTAGAAAGATTATTGTATCAGTTGACAATTCACTTTGATCACATATGGCAGAGGTATAGTATCCTTACGTTCATCTACTGTACCATTCGGTCTTCCAGTGGATTTAAGATGAGCATGAATTTTCATCCGATCCTTTAAAAGTTCAAGACGATCAGTATTAAGAATCAGATCAAAAGACTTACGAAGACGCAAAGATTCAAACTTACATCTTCTTTCCAAAACGTTCGTAATGGTGCTCCAAAATCACACATGATATCTTCTGAAGTACTTTCACCAATCACTACATTCACATCTGAGATTGGGTTTGAAGGAGATGATGATTTAAAGCTAAAACAAACTGTTGTAGGTATAGAATCTGGACGACTACCTAACTAAGTTAAAAAACGATCACATGAAAAAGACTTTGAAGTGATAAGTATTCGAGATTCCTACTGGAAAAAAAAGCTTAGATTGATTTGATAAGACAAACATAAGAGCTTACCCTAACTGCTGCACATGAAATATCACCATCAATACAATCCAAATATTGAGGCATTTTAGGTTTATAATAAGCTTCAGCCAATTGATGACTTTCCGATTCATCTTCGTTAATTTCACTAGGTTGAACTGATAAGATCACCCTGTTTAAAACTTGATTTTGAAATGAGAATGCTACACCAGGATAAGAGATGAGTGTTTCTTCTGGATGTGCAACGTGTGGTAAAGGTGGATAGGTTGGACCGAATAAGCCTGAAGGATCGGATCTCCCAATGGTATGTATGAAGAAGATCAAATGAGTGAGTTTTCATGAGAATGATCATGAAAAGTTTAGATGACTGACGATGGATCACTCTTAAGGTGACACCAGGATCATTAGGTCCAATCGAAAGAGAGATAGGTTGATTACGATAACTAATCCATTCTCCTAATGGGATCATTCGATTTGTAAAGTTTTGATCAATAGGATTATAAGCTTCAATTAAAACCAAACGCTGAGTACGACCATCAAAGATTAACTGAATAGCTGGACTTGAAATTGATAATTGAATAAAACTAGTGGCTGATTCCTATGAGCAAAGTAAAAGACACTGATTCAACTTTGATCCGATTAGGTTCGCATTGTTCATTCGATATTCTCACTCAACTCGTGCGTCCCAACAGATCTGAGCATTAGGAAACAAATTTTGTGAAGATCTCAAGATTGTAAGAACGTTCCATAACAAGGTACCTTTATGAAGACGAGAAATGAAAGGATCAGTTCAAATTCATGGATCTCGAAAGTTAGATTTGAAGATATATGTACCGAGTTCAAATTCACCAAGAGATCTACCAGGTACCAGAGTAAGTACCATTTTGGTATTTTGAGGCGATGATGTAATTGTAGGATGAGGAGATGCTGAGAAACAAAGTGGAAGATCACCAAAGGATTTGGAAATTCAAACAGCTGGATGTATGCGTCATTTCACTATACGCATATCATATGTAATGCTACAAGCATTATCACACAACCTATATTAGACAAGAACCGCCGCGGCGCCGGTGAGTGGGTCATTGCTTTGGATCCTCCAGTAAAGGCTTCTTCTTGATAAATAGGATGGCAATGGCATGACGGTGGCTGTGGAGCGCCAAAGGAGTCAAAACCTAAAAATGTGAAACTTGAGCTTGTTGAGCAGATGAATGAAGACCCAGCAAAATTCCGGACTTTGTTCCATGATAAAGAAGGCGTTCTACAGTGTGGCTACAGGCTGGAGGACCAAGCAGTGGAGCAGGTATGTGCTTTTGATCAACTCCTCGACGAGTAATCTGATCATCTTTCAAAACATTTAACATTCATCTGATACAACTAATTCTTGTATTTACCCTATTGCCTTCAATCACAGAATTTGATGCAGCAAAATCGGTGTATGGCCCTAGAATGCGTCCGCGTGGTGCCAGACAGTAGGTGTCATGAATGACATGACCCGCTGGGTTGCGGATGATCTAAGGTGGATTAATACAAGAGGTGTCGAAAGATCATAAGACAAAACGAACTCCAGCTTTCGACTAGATGGCCTTCGGCTGTCTAACAAATTGTGAATTGGAAAACAAGATTTCTTTAGGATAAAAATTCATCAACTATCATTGTATATACTTCGCCTCATATCATATATGCAGTCTTCGTATATGATTCTCATTTCACCTCTGTTTTAAACTCAATCATCAATTATTACTCAAAGGCTTTTACAAGGATAAAGTCCAAGCCAAAGATCTACCAGAAATCTTTGGGAGTCGGGACAATCAGTCCACATCTTAGCCCGATCAATACACTTGATCATCTATCCAAGTTGATCATTTTACCAAGTTGAGAGAAGACTTTTTTGATCTTCCTACTGAGTTGAGCTATACTACTACTACTCTCCAAATCCAGTCATGATGAGGTAACTTTGTGTTTGGGTAAGAGTTCAAAACCTACACCATCTTGGGGGAGAGGAGCCCATCAATCTAGCGTTGGTATGAACCGTCATTGAAAACCGTTCAAACCGTTCAAACCGTTCAAAATGTTTAAAATGTTTAAAATTTCTAATTCAAAATAAAAAAATAAACCTATAAACAAGAAAATTTGTCATCTTTTTTGCTTCAACTTCTTGATCTCTCTTTTACATTCAACGAAAAAAAAACAGAATTAAGAAAACAAATCATCAAGGAAAAAATCATCAAAAGTTTATCAAACACAAGAAAGATGTCCATCTCCATTAAACCCGCTTGCTTCTTCTTCTTCTTCTTTCCCAAACACAAAGAATAAAAATAAAAAAAATCATTAAGATTCATTACATTTCATTCGTTATCATTCTCATCAGTATCATCAAGAAGTTTAAGTGTTAAAGTTTTAAAGTTTTGGAATTTTCGAATTTTTGAATTTTCAAGTTTTCAAGTTTTTTTTTTTGAAAATCCATTCAAACCAATCCATTCAAAAGCCTAACAAACTCCTTCAACTTTTTTCTTTCTTTGGATTCATTCAAATTCCCATAAACCAAAATCGGTAATCCAAACCCAAATCCACTACTCACTTCACTTTCTTCTTTTCCTAATCCCAAATTACTCTTTACCCAAACTTTAATGATTCCTAAAACAAAAACAGTAAACCCCCCAGAAAGATTCATCAGTATAAGGAGCTTTCAATCATGTTCTCTAATACTTTTTTTTTTCGATCGAAATACAAAATAAAAATCACAAACCTGATGAAATCAATCTTTCATCAAACCTAGTCAGTTTGAAAACTTCAATTCCAATCAAGATTTCATGTTCAAACACAATCACTTCCACATCTTTAAACCTTTCTCCTTCTCCAACCCCATCTTCCTCCTCTTGCTCTTCCTCTTCTGTTTCCTGCTCTTCATCATCATCTTCATGTTCACTACCAAACTCACTCACAAGTGAATCTCTTCTTCTTCTTCTACTACCTCTACCCCTAGCCCTACTCCGAGTCATAGTCCTACTCCTTCTTCTATGATTCCGATTCCGAGTCCGAGTCTTACCCACCTCACGATCTTCTTCATATTCATTTTGATTCAAATCAAACTTGGAATCAATCTTAAATTCAAATCTACCTAAAACCTTTTTCTTTAAAATCGATTCATATTCAATCTTTTTGTTTTGCATCTCTTTGATAATCTCATCAATTCTTTCTAATAAAACTTGAGTCGATTGATAATCAGAATGAGTAGGTGGTGTCAAATCTTTTAATTGCTATAATTCATTCCAACAAAGTAAGAAATCCCCCCAAAAATCAGCTCAAAATCTTACCTTTTTAAAATTGACGAAAAAAAAAATCAAAAACGTTCATCAACATACCTTGAAGAAAAGTGGATATTTCATTAATCTTTGAACCGGTTTCAGTAAGAAACTAGTCAAACTTAATCCATTAAACACCTCACTTTGACCAAATCTCAAATCATCAGTTTCCAATCTTTCGATCCTTTTCAATCCAATCCAATACCTATGATCTGAATCTAACTTTTTAAGTTCTTCAATCGATTGAATACTCTTTTCAAATTTAATCAAAAACGTTTCATACACTTTAAATCGGTTTATAATCTTTAACCAATCTTTCGCTACATTTTCTTTCACTTTCGATTTCGATCTCAATGATGATAAATTTACATCTGCTTCATGAATTCGTAAGATTTTCTTTAATTCTTCAAAGATCAATTTGATTTCGATTGGTAAAACTTCAAAGATCGATTCATGTTCAATCTCTTCTGATTTATATACCAATCTCATCAACTTTGAAACTTGTGAAACATATCGTCTTTCGGTTTCCATCAATTCATAAATCACTTCTTGTCTTTTCATCTCTTGTGGTCCATACAAACTTAACAAATTCAAATAGTCTTCTTTGGCTACTTCTTCTTTCCATGTAGGTGGGATTGCCATTGCAGATGATTGAGTGGAGATGGTCGAAACTAACCTTTCTCTTGGGGTTTGATTGAGATGATGATGTGATAAATGTGGATGGAATAGATTCGAAAGTTGTTTGAGGTATAACGTACTACTGTTTCTAGATGATGGTTTTTCATCTGATGTTAATTGACGATGTCGACGTTTATGATGACCAAGACCGTGATGGTGTTCTTCTAGATGTGTTTGATCAGTCAGGATCGTTCCAGGACTAGAATGACTTCTTGGATGAGACAGTGGTAAAGCCGAAGAGGAAGGCGTTAAGAATAATGGTAAGGAGATCATCGGTTTTGACATCTCGACTGATGATAATCTGTGATTCTTTGGATCTTGATGATGAGGATGATGATCTTCATGAGGAGATTGAGGTGAATGATGATGATGAAAGGATTTAAAACTTAGATAAGATGAAGTTGAGGATGGTAAACGTGGTCTAGTTGGTTTTGATTTTCGGTTTTCCTGTGATGGAGTGCTTTGATCAGGTTTATGATTCAAATTAAAGAAATCAGATCCAAACGCTCTTGAAAGACTCTTGGCCACTGGATGTGAGATGAGTTTAGATGAACGATGATGTTGTTGAGCAGTGAAATCTTCTTTTGAAGATGATTTTCTAACTTGCTGTGGTGCTCTTAATTGTGGTCGTCTTTCTTCAGGTGGTGTGGGTTGTTGAATCTGATGAGATGGAGTAGGAATCTGATCAGAATGTCGAGAGATCGGAGTGGGTAGAGTCGATTTAGATTTCCTAGCTACAGTATGTTTAGATGACTGATTTGAATCTGATGATTTAAGATTAGGAGCCGAAGTCCAACTAAGTGGTAAGCTAGGTCTGATTAAGGTTTCTCGAATTGATAAGAATGGTGATTTGATTGGTTTTGAGATTGGTTTGTTGTTAGATTGATTTGAAGAAGTAGCCGAAGAAGAAGTATAACTACTTGAAAGTTCTGGATCATCCGCTGATCCTGCTATCCATATACTTTCATCACCTTCTTCTGCACTAGCAAATTCATCTGTACTTAGGAACTCATCTGTCAAGTGAGATTTAGAATTAGTGGGATGAATAAAAAATGAAGTCGGTTCATGATGCTGAAGTTGATTAGGAGATTGAGGATGATCATTAGGAGACTGATTTGTGATTTTTGAAGATTGAGTTCTATAATGAGATTGAGGTGTGACTGAGGAAGGACTTAGGATTGAGTTCAAAGTTAAAAAGTGACGATGTTGATGATGTTGATGATGAGATGGTGATGGATGGTTGATTAATTCTTTTAAACTTGAAGGAGATTGATGATGATGATGATGCATTGATTTATTAGATTTAAGACTAGAAGATGATGATGAGATGGTATGATAATGAGATTGAGATTGACGATGAATACTCTTAGGAGGTCTAGTGGGAGGTGAGATTAGATTCATTGGATGTTGATGCTGATGTTGATGCTGATGCTGATGATAATGATTAGAATTAGAATTAGAAATCGAATTTGAATGAGCCATTGAGATAGGTTTAGATTTTAATAAATTATTTTCTTGATGAAGAGTTTTGTGATTGATTTGTGATTGATTGACGGGAGTTTGATTCTCCAAATCATGATGATGATGATGTTTTGAAAGTGAATGAGATCGCAGTTGAAGTGGTGTTGAAGTGTTGATTGTAGATTGATGATTTAATGAAATCTAAGTAAGAAGATCCAAGTTTTGAATGTGAAAAGTCAAAAGTCAGAGATGATTGATTGATTGATTGATTGATTGATTGATTGATTGATAGGATGATGATGAAGATGAGAAGTGGTAGATGACTTACTGAGTTTAAAGTAGATTGAGATCGTAAAGTGAATGAAGATGAATCAAATGAGTTCACTAAAATCAAAATCAAAAACCATGAATGAGTGAATTGTTAGATTGGAGATTCTTTTTATGATTGCAAATAACTTACCAGTACTAGTTTGTTCTAATTTTAACCACATCTTCGTTCCAATCAAATCCAATACTCAAAGCTTGATGATTGAAAACAGATAATCAGTCAGTCAGGTTGTATCTGTAAATAAAGATAAGTTAAGTTAAGGATGAAAAGTTGAAAAGTTGAAAAGTTGAAAGAGGAAGGGAAATTATGTAAAAAGAAAAACGAAGAAAGAAAAACGAAAGAATCCAAAGTTTAAATAGATTTGATTGACTCAGTCAAGCCATCTTTTCAATCGATTCTCAATCTTCAAATCATTTCTAGCTTAAACTTAAATCAAGTTTTCTTGATATTTCACTTCTCAAGCTAAAATTACAATTCATCAATCAATCAGTTCAAGTCGAAATATCAATCATCAATCAACTCACACCGCCCACCCGTCTGAATCGAATATTCGAGATGGATGGAAATATGCTACTTTGCAAAGAGTGGCTTCAGATGGCTTCGGGAGTTTCTTCAAGCCTCGGGCCTTTGGCGAGGGACTTTGTGAAGTTTGCGGGTTAGCCTGAATCGGGACATAGAGCCCTATGTAATTGCAAAATGTACGATGATAACTTATAGTGCAAAGGCTTTGAAAAATAGGTCCGCTATGGGGCAGCCTGAAGTACATATGTAAACGATGAGAAGGAGAGGTCACAGGTGGGAGGGACAAGATTGATAAGAATCTTAAAGATAAGAATCAAGAGATCGATAATTTTAAAAGATCTCAATGGATGGTGAGAATAGCTAAGATGAGATTTTCGAAACCTTTGAAGAAAGATGAAAGATGAGGTTGAGTGGGAATTGAGAAACTGGTCATCACTCCATATGTATAAACTTACTTGAGGGAATTCTGCTTGCTCGTCAAGGCAAATGGTAAAGAGATTCTTCTCGCAAATGCTAAAGAGCACATATCATGTAAGGTGCTGTAGCCAACGCGTGACGTGATAGGTTTTGCGAATCGTTTTGCCTTCTGCGCGGCCGCGGGAAGCTGCATCGTTCGTCCAGCCTGGCGACCTCACGCTAAGATTCTCCTGTGTAGAAGCTCACTTCTATGTGACAATCTCCAAGCAATCTTTTTTGTTTCAAATCTCAACCAATCCATCATGACTCATAACAAGTTCAACCCAAATCACCCATAAATGCATGATGGCAACATCTTGTCAAAATTCAAATCTATGAGCTGAAGCAAATAATTCACACAAAAAGAAATCTCAAGATGAAAATACATTAGGTGGTTTTCTTTGTTGAAGATTATTGATTTGGTTTCATTTGGTTTAATGATAAAGATATATCTAGCAAAGAAGATATAACAAGCAAAAGTGTTTAAAGTGATTTTTGATTGTTCATTCCAATTTCCACAAATCATCAACCCATATCCCAAACAAAAAAAAATCAATTTCTTATAATTTACATGAAATTATAATAATAATTATGATCCATAACAAATCAAATAGTTTATAAATATCGATCTTATCAAAAAGAAAGTCAAAAAGAAAATATAATATAATATAAATAAATGATATGAATAAATAAATAAATGAAATGAATAAATAAATAATCAAACAGCTAAACGTATATAAATATATACATTCAACAAATAACCCAAGTATAAAAGTAAGAAAAAAAGATATCATAAATACATGCTCAGTATAAAAGCAGTCTTGAGTAAAAAAAGGTATATGCATCATCAAAAAGAAAAACAAACAAAAAATGGTATTGTATATGATGTCCAGGTGTTAGTTTGATATAAATATATAAAAGAGAAAAGAAATGTTCAGGTATTTGTTCTAAGTATAGATGAATTGATATAAAAATATAGAAATATAAATATGTAATTGTAAAAATATAAATATGGAATGAAAAAGTTACAATTAAACAGTCAGCACACCATTCTACACTTCATTCCAATATTCATTCCTAAAAAAAACTTTCAAAACTTCTTATTTTCCATACAATACAAAAACATTCTTTGAATCCATAATGAGTAAATTAATTGAGGATAGAATAGATTCTATTCAGTTCGATTGATTTCATGGTTTTGACTGTTTCATTCTCATAGACCTTTCAATTTCGAATCGGATCGCATAAATCCATAAATCTCTCTCTAATTGATTCCTAGCCTTATAAACCCTAATAGACTGCCTAGATCCTCTCTGTTCACACTTCTGCTTTTGATTCTGCTTCAAAGTCAGATTCAGATTCGGATTCGGATTCGAATTAGTTTGAGTCTGAGTTTTCAAATCTTGAGAATCGATCCACAAGATCAAAATACATTGACTCAAGGAATCATTGGTATGTAACCCATCAGAATACAATCCCGGAATAATCTGTCCATGAGGGATTTGGTCTTGAGCGGCTTCAGCTGTACAAACAAAACTCAAGCGAAGATCGAATGAATAAAGTTTTTGATTAAGCTTTGATTGATGATGAAAGTAATGATGATGAGGATGATCAAAGGATTTAGATTCCATTGAATATTCAATCAGATTACCTCCTGATAAGATCATCTCTCTTGTATCCCATGTGTTACCTTTGTATGATTTCTTGTGAAGTTTTCCACTACGAGTAATCGTTCGACATCCTTCTACGATACACCAATGACTATGAGATCACCAAAGAAAAATCAATCACTGATCATCAAGAGAATGATCTAGAAAGAAAACTTACTACAAAGAAGAAAGTAACGAAGTTTGAAGTTCTTCTGAACAACATCTACGTAAGTTACTATCATCAAACGATCCAACCTCATCTCTATCTTTCAACAAAGGTTTCAAAGTCCCATTCATCGCTAACATTTCAATCTTAGCATTCTCTTGAATTCGTGAGTTCCAATAAGTCGAAAGTTCATTTAAATGTTGAATCCATTGATCAGTTTCGATTTCATTCAAGGTGATCAAATCTATCCAATTTCCTTCACTCAATTCGATTCGAAAACCCGGTAAGACTTCTTCTTCAACCAGTGATTTTTTCTTCTTCTTAGGTTTAAATGGGTTTCGTTGCGTACTCAAAATCGTATCACTTCTTTGAATCGATTTGATTTCTTTCATATCAATGAATTTATACGAATTCTTGACTAATTCTTTTTGTCGGTTCAATTCATCTGAATAAAATCGCGTCAATAAGCTTTCCAAAGGTTTCGTACTCGGAAATCGTTCATGGCTTTCATTCGAACTTGAAATCTCTTCCACCACATTAAGATTCAAATCTTGTTTCTTCAAAGTGTTGGGTTCATTTTGGGTAGGTGAAGTGGGATTGGCTATGGTCGGACTAGCCGGATGACTCGAACAAGTTGGGGTAAGATTAGTAGACCATAAACCGGTTTGAGACGAAGGAAGATGAGGTTGGAAAACCTTCATCAATCTTTCTCTTTCGTCATCAGAGACAGGTGCTTTAGGTAAGATGGCCAAAGATGCTTTACAGATAAATAACATTCCATCAAACGTCGAAAGATAAACCCTTTTACCTGTCTTACCACCCGCTTTAAAGTATGTTACAAATCCTTCTAATCCTGATGGTTCTTCTCGTAAACTTCCATCTGAAAGGGTCACAAAATTCGGATAATGTAAAGCTGGTCGGAGTTCAAGTACTGCACTCTCTTTTGTCTGATTGTTTCGAAAAAAAAGGGTCAGTAGAGATTACCAAAGATTGATGGTGAAAAAGAACTAACCGATTGTACTGAGAAACCTCTCATCGCATTATCAATTTGTAATTGTTCAATGGGCAAATTTCCAGTAAAGATATGATGAGGAACCGGCGAGATCCAATCCAATCGATCTTTTCTTCTCCAAGCCAATCGAACATCTCTACCTTTAGAATGAAATCTTGAATACATCTCTGCATAATCTTCATTCGAATTCAAACATTTCATCGTAGCTTCTCTCAATTCATAATCCGATAAATACATGGGTTTTGCTTTTAATGATCGAATGATCGGAACTTGTACATATGATGATAATCCAATGGTATCCACTAAAACTTGACGTGGTAATTTCCCACCCAGTCTTTTCCATAATTCATATGACATGATCTCACCAATCGATTTAGATGAAGGTATAAAGATAAACTTGGCAAGTTGATGAGGTGATCTTTGATGTAAATGGGTTACACGTGGTTTTCTGGTGGCTTGATCATGATGGGTTAAATTTGAAAGTTTTGACCAAATCGGTGAAGACAAAAATGAACCTGTAGGTTTTTCTTTCGGTTGAGATGGATGATGGGTTCGTAATGAATTATAATTCAAATTCACTGTCAAACAAAAAGCCAAATCAGATGAAAATGGTCTAGAGAAACGTGTATCACTACCGATGAGTAAGATTGAATGAACTAGTTTCCAAGAATATTCCCGATTTTTAAAAACCCCTTTTGAATATTCATATAATTCTAAACAACGTTCATTGAGGACTACTTTAAATGGTTTAAATCGTTCTTCCGCTACTGAGATTCGTGATGTAGGTTCAAGTGATAAACGGTGGGGGTGTTTGTTTGTCCATTGAAACTTGACTAGCATATGAGCTTCAAGGACAGATTCGACTAAAGGTTTCTTAAGAAGAGGTTTGGATTGAGTAGGCCCCATATGATCTATCGCGACTTGTACCATGGGCTTGGTTGGGTTTGCATCCAATGAGGTGGGAGCATTGTGGTTGAGTCCACATTCTTGAATGTTGGGAATTGGTTCGCTTGAAGGAGATGGGACGGGTTGTGCTAGTGGTGCGGAATGAGAATCGCCAGATGAGGTAGGAGGATCAGTTTGCGAAGGTGATGAGAGCTGACCGGGAGGGTATGATGGTGATCCGAGTGGCGAGTTGGGTATATCCCATCTGTCGGATATAAAAGGACCAGAACTACAACGGCGAAGACCGTTGGGTCTCTGAGGCACTCCAGTTGAGATTGAGTGTTTGTTTTTAGAAGGTGCTGAGCTACAAGATCTCCTTCGTTGGGTTTGAGTTTTTTGTACTTGATCATGATGATTTGATGATAAGGATGCTTGCTTCAAGACTTCTTCGAGATCCGCACCAATTTCGAAATGTGAACCAGACCAAGTTTTGATGGTATTAGAAGGTAAATGGTTACTTTTCAAACTACGAAGTGATAAGACTGATGGTCTTCTAGTAGGAACTGTTGTGATTGATTTGATAGGTTTTGTGACAGGTGTATTGAAGATATCTAATCGACTTGAAGGAAAGGCTAAGCTTTGATTCCATTTGATATGAGGTGATGAAGTTTGATTTTGAAGTTTATTGATAGGTTCGATTGTGTGAGAAGGTTTTAATGATCCTTTCTCCGATTCGGTGAGTTGAATTGAAGGAGAAAGCCAAATAAGATAATCACCAATGATTAATGGAGCTTCTTTACCAATAAACTTTCTTTTGTTTGATCGATGTGGTACGCAATCTTGTTGTTTGATGAATGGTGATGATGATGATTGATGATCTGAAAGTGATTGGTTGGTAGCCATTTGATTGTGATTGAATGTAGTCTTGATGAGTTGAAGGTTACAAGTGGAATGAAGAAATTGAGATTAGTGAATGTTTTGAGTGAAAAGTGCTACAAATGAAGTTAATAAGAATAATAATAAATGATGATGATGAAGATGAAGATGAAATTATGTAGATGGGTTCAAGCAAACAGTAAAGAAATGAAGAGTAGTAGTTTCGTTAAGATGGTCTAGTTCTGGAACTAGCTAGTATTACTATCAATCAGTCTAGTCAGCATTAGAATTCGAATTAGACTGAAAATCATTTTATCAATCCCATTCATCAACTAACAAGTTTGGTTTCAATCCCTTTGAGTTCTCGATATCATTCATCAGTCATGACGCGTTTAATTCGACTTCCTGTCACCAACACACACGCTTTTCTTGGGTTGGTTTGACACCTTAAATCGTTCATCATCTTCTTACTCTTCTTCTGACTTCGCTATCTGAATCGAATTCCCGATTCGGTCATCTAATTTCATACCAAACACTTCCAATATACCTTAATTTTGGATTCACTCAAATCAACCGCGTAGTCCAGCAAGCAGAACTTAAAAATGACCTTTATGTACATACCATCAATTTACCGTTGTACTATGTTTTTGTGTCCAAACAATCACATTAAAAAACAGAAATCCCGCATTGGCTGAGGAAGTAGAATGCCGAACATACCCTTAACCTGACAACTTGTCCAACCTCCGAGCCTCATGAGGCGCAACATATGTACCGGGCGTGAAGAAGCTGTGTGAAGCCGATATGGAGATTAAGCGCCGTGACAACACATTTTGCTCGGCGATTGCCGACAAACGCCAAATGCGCCAAAACAACAAGAGGCGAAAAATTTAGTGTATGAAACAAAAGTCCGGTTGAGCATATCCCGAGCTCAAGTCCGTTGCCTGGTGCGTCGGACAGCACTTTGCCCGCCATTTCATGTTGTGGGCGCGTCCTTTTAAGCTTCTACATCAGCAGAGGCCATCATTACAGTGCCAGTAGATACATAGTTGCCAATAAAAGAATTCTAGTCATTGATTTTCAAGGTAGATTGTAAGAGATATCACAGTCAAAGGAAGTCAACTGTGACACTATACACATGAAACTCTTAAAGTGAGTTGCCTACATCTTTTGGACAAGACTCTGTCTGTCAAGTGAAAACAGCTCAGAGTGAGGTAGACTGACAGACCAATATCTCAATACCATGATGAAGGACACGCCTCAGAGTCCTCCTAAGGCATTCCTGATGGAGATGAGTGGCTGAACTGGCAAAAATCCGTGGACTAACCATGGGGCGTGCCCCTACACATTTTGAAGATTTGGGGCACTACCAGGCACACCCACAAGATGACTGCCATTGCTCCCTTAATCCCCAAGTACATACTATGCTCAACATATGGCTTCTGATATGTACAATCTATTGCATTTTTTCTTCAGATCAATCCACAGCAAAGACAAATAGTAGTACACAAACATCTTGACCCAACCTGAAAAACCCATCCAAATAACCCATGACAACCTGATTGTTTTTTGGGTTTTGGCATGGGTTATCATGGGTTTTGAGGTCAGGTCAAGATGTTTGTGTACCATTACTATTGTTGCATTCAACTGGAGTGCATGAGATGAAAGTGATAAAGGGTAATATAAGCATTTCATAAAAAGTAAAACTATAGTAACTGAAGAGAGAAAGCACACCTAGAGTGCACAAGATGACATGAGAAAAGGGTATAGAGAAACTCTTTCCTATTGCAGCTCCAGGTGGCTTTGATATACAAAGTTTGTTATGTAAGCAGTACATAACAACATACATTGTAGTAGATGGCCAGATGATCCGTCAAGTCAGGCAAATAACAGATCAGTGGGAAGATAGGTGAAAAGCAAATGGATGATAAGTAGACTAGTGGCATACAACAAGGTTTCTAAGATATCAAGCTCACTATTCCAAAACCCCCCTGTTTTCAGCTAGCTTCAACAGAGTCAAGAAGAAAGAGAGAGAGATAGGAAAGAGAAAAACAATAAAACACAAAAGGCAAATTACAGGTGTTATTACAGATTTATAGAGAAAAGAAGAAAAGAAAATAACAGAATAAACCCAACATTTTTCCACCAAGACCCATGAAAGAATAAAAATCATGTAATCCAAAACATAGCATGATGATGTTCAAGCAATACTCAAGAGGTGGTTTAGTTAACTTGATGGCTAACATATCTTTGGTAGATACATGGAGAACCCTCATGTCTTTATTCTTGACACATTCTCAGACAAAGTGATAAAAGTATGTATGTGTTTATGTAGTCTTGGTGTGATGTTGCGGATTATGTGAAAGTGCCTCAGTACCTTCATCATTGACATGGAGGGAATAGCCGCTGGAGGACAAATGTTGAGTTTGGCCAGGAGATAGGCCTTTACATGAGGCACGATGTGTGGAGCAGGTCCATGAAGGCGTGCACCCTAAAAGAAAGTGATGACAATGAGACAGCTAAGGAAAAAGTCCAACGTGTACACTTATGACCCAAGAAGGAATAACAAATTCCTCATTGGGTCATCCGGTCATACGAGAGGTACAAGAACGCGTGACGTTTATAATTGTAATAGCCCAAGCGTCTATGAGAACATATAAAGCTCAAGCTGATCTAATTATGATTACATATTCCCTTCGACCGATTTCCTTTACATCTTTCTAATTTACTATCCAATCAAGTAAAGCATATCAAAGTGACTCACCTTACAATTAGTTAGACTCTTTAGAATTAAATCTTACTATTCCTAGTTTTAGATTGGGGTTAACAACTTGTTACTAAAGTTGTTTAACAGTTTAATATAAATAATTTTGTATTTTGTTTTGCGAATTGCTCATTTCTTTTAAACCAATAAACCAATCTCTCCTCTCTTCCTCTATCTCCATAATACTATAATACTTTTAGCCCGTCGTATTCCATCAACTTTCATTTATCTTCCCTACTTCCTTTCATTGTCTGTTATCAAACTACATGGCAATCACCCAAGTAAACAGTAGATCTACTAGAAGAACGAGAGGCGATATGTTACCTGAAGGTGCATTAGTTATCGACCCTCCGGCCTCGAGCGGAAATGAAGGCCGTCCCCAAGACGAGTTAGAAGGAACCGACAACCCAGTGAACGGAGAACTCGATGGAGAAGCTCTTCAAGAACAAATGAGGGACGAAATTTCCCGTTCACTTGATAGTTTTGGAGAAAGAGAGGAAGATGAAGAAAGAGAAGGTGCTAATAGAGGAAGAGGTGAAGATGAAGATGATGACCTCGAAGATCAAGACTTCAACATCAACAATTTGAAGGAAGAAGACAGCGACTTCAGATCTTCTTCGTCAGATTCATCAGAATCAAGCAGCGATTCTTCAATCAGCTCGAGTGAAGACTCCTCCGGGTCCGACTCCTCCGGGTCCGGGGATAGCGAGTCACCTTCTGATTCAGATTCAGTAGGCACAGTGAAGAAAGGTAAGTCGTCGAATAAAATCTTTTAAAAAGTTTAAAAGTCCTGCTTTACACGTTACTTTACCGAAGCTTCTCAAGAGTTGAGCGCCCCTGTGATAAGGGAAGAGACATTTATAGTCTACGTTTTATAAAACGTTTCCCAGATGGTGCCCTCCACTGGATGCTAGGAAACATGACACTGACTCATGTGATATTTCCTAACCGGCTGTTATAGATAAACGAAAGCCTTTAAAAGAACTCGAAAGAGATCTAGAAAAAGCAATCCGGAAGACGGAAGCTATGAAAGCCAGATTGGCGAAAGAGAAACTTTCCAACAAAGGGAAAGATAAGGTCAGCAAGCACGGTAAGAAGAAAAAGTCTTCCAAGGACCAATCATCTTCGTCAAAGAAGATCATCAAGGAAAACGGTATACGTTTCCAAGATGGGGCTCCTTGTACTTTGACACTTCCGCCTCTTCAAACTTACTGGGGAGAAGCCATGAAGAACCTATCAGAAAACATTCCTCTTACTGTACTCAATCCCACTTTCGTAAGGAAAGACAGAGAAGAAAGCAGGAAGAATCAAACGTCGTCATCATCTTCCAAATCTTGAAACAGAGGTCTGACTCCTCCGTCAGAATATGCAATGACCTATGGGGAGTGGATCGACGGGATATCATTGCTCAGAAGATATTTGACCGATTCATATAACTTCAAGAAGATAGCAAAACAATTGAAAGGACATGTGAGACACGTAAAAGAGATCAAGTATGTTTTAAATCTCAAATCTTACACGTTCATCCATGTATGAGTGAATCAGATGAGTTAACAAAGACATTGTCGTCGGTACTTTTCCAGGTCATCTACAGAGTCTTGGATGGTCGCGTTGCGATACGACATAATGGTGAGGGAACAAGTATTTGGCCATAGAGCCAAAGGAGTACCAGTTCCCGAGTGAGTTTTAGTCCCACATCCATATAGAGCGATAAAGTGGTATGTTCTAAAACAAGTGTATGCGAAAAACATCAGCTCGAGTATCTATGTAGAGAAGTACGAGAAGCTGGCTTGCGAAAAAGCACAAGCAAGAGGCGAGTTATCATTTGGTGACACTAACCCTTATGCGAAAGGGGCAAGGTTCGAGAATAGAGATCCAGAGACCGGGATTTGGAATGAGTAAGGAATTCATCCTACCTAGTAGAACGAGAGCCGACGCTTACATAAACAAATCCCCTCGATTCGTGTTTAACCTAGGAATGCGGCGAAGCCATCTAAGAAACGAAAGCTAACTGTTGGTGTTAGAACCTCATCATCGACACAAAGAAGAGCTCCAAGACCCTCTAGAGAACCTCGTTTTCCAGATATAATAGAGATGCTCCCACCGTTACAAAGAGAACAGCCAGTAGCGAGTGGTAGCAGAGGAATCGCTAGAAGAGGAAGAGGTGGAGGACACATGGGTAGAGCGAGACCTCGCCAGTAGTAAGTTAGGATTACTTTATGAAGTGGCATGCTACGTATAAATCTCCCCCTCCTTTATGAGATCATACGAAGGCATATTGTTTTTCTTCTTTTTACACTTTCCTTGTCGCACACCCTCCTAAGGGTTTTTATTCCTAGTCGGTCATTACCTAGTCCAATCAACTAATAGTTGTATTTCTTGAAACTGTTCAGAGAGAATTGTATGATTGATAATAACATACTGCAATTTTCTTTTTTGACTCGTGACAAAGTGAGAATACTCATTTAGATCAACCAGATACTTTGGAGATCCCAAACCACATACGGCCAGCAGACCACACACGGCCAGCCCGATTGAAGAAACTAGACGACGTACTAGACAACCCCAACTTATCTTCACTGGCCTCAACAACAACTATAACAACAATAAACGAAGCTAGATGGCCCAAAGGACCGACATGCGCGATGAACATCGACCTATGGGAGAAAGAGCTAAGAAGATACGGCCTGCTCCCTCAGTACAACTTCGTGTTGGAAGGCTTTCGAAACGGCTTTGACCAGGGGATCCCAGACCACACAGTGGGAGACCTTCCTTTCTACTGCCCTCCCAATCACCGGTCGGCAGAGGCAGTTAGAGAGAAGATTATGGACAACATACATAAAGAAGTCCTAGCCGGTAGAATGTTCGGCCCCTTCACAACAGAGGAGTTAAGTGCTAAGTTCGGCTTTTTCCGATCGAGCCCAATGGGAGCAGTAGTGAACGGCGACGGCTCCTTCAGACCGATAAACGACCTGTCGTTTCCAAAAAATGATCCAAAGATCCCAAGTGTCAATTCATTCGTGAACAAAGATGACTTCGCAACTACGTGGGATAATTTTTCGATAGTGTCAGAGTTCATTGCAGATATTGATGTACCAGTCGAGGTAGGCCTCTATGACTGGGAAAAGGCCTATCGACAGATTGGCACCATCCCCAGCCAATGGTGTTTCCTTTTAATCACGTGCTTTCGTGGGTTTCAATACATAGACACCTGTATCTCTTTCGGTGGCGTAGGCGGATGTGGCAGTTTTGGGGGTCCAGCTGACGGCTGGAAAGAGTTAGTCGAGAAACACTTTCGTCTGATGAAAGTATTTCGTTGGGTGGACGATAACCTTCTAATCAAAGAAGCGTCCAACAACGTAACAATGAACCAAATAGTAGAGTATAGCTCATCCTTAGGGGTGAAAACTAACGACACAAAGTTCTCAGACTTCGCCGACGAACAGAAGTATATAGGTTTTCTATGGAATACTAAAACGAAAACAGTGTGCTTACCCCCATCAAAGCTACAGTTAAGAATCGACCAACTGTCCTCATATTTAAGCCAAGTTACATATTCATTCAAGGAGGTGGAAAAGATGAATGGAAGATTAAGCCATGTATCCTACATCCTTCCACAACTCAGATGCTATTTGACAGGAAGTTTCAGATGGTTAGCTGAGTGGCACAACAAGTACACAAAAAGGAAGATGCCATCTGCGGTACGAGGAGACCTGAACGTATGGATGAACGCACTAGTCAGCTTTCCTAATAGGCACTTGCTCAAAAAACGAACAGTCTCGAACGTAGGCTGGGTAGGCGATGCGTCGACATCATTTGGGATCGGAGTTGTTATAGGGAAAGCGTGGTCTCAGTTCAAACTCCTCCCCGGTTGGGAGACTCCCTTGAATCAGCAAAGACGTGGTATTGCATGGCTTGAGACAGTAGCTATAAGATTAGGCCTTCTAATGTTACAGAAACTCCAGAGAATAGAAGGAGGGAGATTTTTGGTCCTGACGGACAATACAACAACGGAAGGAGTACTCCGCAACAAACGATCTAATGATTTTTGGGTCAATAGTGAGTGGAAAGAGATAAGTACCCTTCTCTACTCTAACGATTGCCAGTTAGAACAACGAAGGGTGACATCGTTGGAAAACGCGGCAGACGAGCTTTCTCGAGGTGACACAACATCAAGAGATTGGTGGAGACAGGTGCATGTTGAGATACCTGGGGACCTACTATGCTGGCTCAGAAACGCTACAGAAGAAGACCAACTTGTAACAGCAAAGTGCGAGTTCTAAGAGTTGTACAGCTTTCCTCGATTTTTCTTTTGTAATATTTGGCTTGTTTGCATTGATAATGAAAAGAACATAATCCTCAGAGATTTGTCTGGTGTTTGGTTACAAAAGCTATGAACCAATCATAAATGGATCATGAGTTACGATAGGTAATTGAGAGAACAAAAATAAAAAGGAGTAGGGCGGAATTCACCGCTCTTACTCAATAAATTACGTACCACAACAGGGCACCACCAACATAGATGCCTCGGATCGGGAGATCCGAGGTATCGTCGGATGCAAATCCTCGGACAGATCTCATCCAAGGTTTCTGTCCGAGGTATCATTATGCGCCCAAAATTACCTCGGATCAAAACCTCGGATAGCTTCTGTCCGAGGTTTCAGATCCAAGAACGCCTTGGATTTCCCAATCCGAGGTTAATATGCTGGCAGTGGGGGAAGAGATGGTAGTTCAGTTCACAGGGTAACAAACTAATGATCAAAATAGGATTGGTGACCCAAATATCTCGGTTACATCTTCTCCGATGCCTTGTATTAAGGCTCGAGAAAAGAAAATTTTTTAGTCCAAAAGAGCCCTTCTGTGAGAGGCCAGTGTGAAAACATTATCACTCCATTTCATAATAAACCCAGTATAAAAAATCGACAATCGACATGAAAGACCTAACACCGTTCCTTCGTATAAGAGATGAAAAACCTCTCCGCTTATTGGTAACACAGAGACACATGATTAAAGGTGGTTGGAAGTTGAACACGCTAGAATCCTATTCGTCGGGTGTAAAGAAGTTTAAAATCTTTACAAACCGGTTCAAGTTGAGGTCGTTTCCAGCTACGCGGTCGAGACTGGAATCGTTCTTCATTTGGGCAGGCCATAATCATAACATGCACGCCACGAACAAACCGATAAAAGTGGCGACGATCCATAAATACCTCTCGGCAATAAAGACGTGGCATGATTTTCACGGCCATCGGTGCCCACCGATGTTAGATACTAGGATCAGAAGCATATTGCGATCATCGACAAGACTGGAGATGACAGCTCAACTGTCTAGAAGAAATCGTAGACCAGTATTGCCAAAAGATTTAGTCACACTCATCGATGATATCGAAGAAAACGAAATAGATCCGGTGGGCCTAAAGGCATTAGTCCTTACAGCTTATTGGGGCTTGGCGAGAATGGGAGAGTTAGTTTACAAGTCAGACCAATATCACAAGGCAGACCTTGGAGCCATCTTAAAAACAGATATTCAGTTCCTTTCATGGAAAGGTCAGCGAATGGCACGGATCACACTACAGGACGCTAAAACGGCGAAAGGTGGAGACTTACAACACTTGGTGTTAAGAGAAACTGGTGGTAGATTATGCCCTTTCCGCGCTCTAGGTTGTCTAGTACGACGTATGGCACGAGTAAAAGACCCAAGATTATTTATGACATTACGGAAGGGGCTAACGTGTGTGATTACTAGACCGATCTTAACACAAGTGCTACACCGGGCGTGGGGGAGGTCAGGAGATATAACTGGCCACTCCTTCAGAATAGGTGGTGCTACCTTATTGACAAAGGCTGGCGTTTCGACAGAAAATATTAAACAGCTGGGTAGATGGAAATCCGGTTGTCATACTATTTATCAGAGGGAATGGTCTGACATAGAATGGAGGAACGCACAACGAATTTTATCAGTGTCAGGTAGCATAATTCCAAATTATGATTAGATACGAGAATCTGACCACTCAGGGTTTGACCTAACTGTGTAGTAATGATTTGCTGGAAGTGGGGCAACTGAATCAGAAATTATAAACAATTGCATACTGACGAAGTCTAGGAAATTATTCCTTATCATGAACTCCAAACTCGTCGAGTTTAAGTGCATCAAAGGTGCGGCTAGCGACGGTGTGGGGATGAGCCAGTGAGGCTCAGGACCGACACAATCCTGAGTATGGGAGACCCTGGCTCTCCTTGCTCTCGTCTTTATAAGGGGCCCCTACCCTCTACGTTCGATAGAAAGGTTAAAACAAACCCTTCTTAGCAAACGAGAGGAAAGGTAACCCCCTTAAAACTGGTCCTCTCGAAATTTAGAAAGCATGTCTCTCATTTCGAGAGGACTTCTAGCCCACACAAGGTCCTCTCTCGCCCAGTTTAAACTGGGGGAGAGAAGACTCATCTCTAAAGAGAATAAAGATGAGACACGAGATAATGGATAGGCCTTTACATGAGGCACGATGTGTGGAGCAGGTCCATGAAGGCGTGCACCCTAAAAGAAAGTGATGATGATGAGACAGCTAAGGAAAAAGTCCAACATGTACACTTATGACCCAAGAAGGAATAACAAATTCCTCATTGGGTCATCCGGTCATACGAGAGGTACGAGAACGCGTGACGTTTATAATTGTAATAGCCCAAGCGTCTATGAGAACATATAAAGCTCAAGCTGATCTAATTATGATTACATATTCCCTTCGACCGATTTCCTTTACATCTTTCTAATTTACTATCCAATCAAGTAAAGCATATCAAAGTGACTCACCTTACAATTAGTTAGACTCTTTAGAAATAAATCTTACTATTCCTAGTTTTAGATTGGGGTTAACAACTTGTTACTAAAGTTGTTTAACAGTTTAATATAAATTTTGTCCTTCCCACCCGCCCTACATTATTGCAGGAAGAACACGTGTCTCCTAGTTTGTATAGAGGGAGACCCTGGCTCTCCTTGCTCTCGTCTTTATAAGGGGCCCCTACCCTCTACGTTCGATAGAAAGGTTAAAACAAACCCTTCTTAGCAAACGAGAGGAAAGGTAACCCCCTTAAAACTGGTCCTCTCGAAATTTAGAAAGCATGTCTCTCATTTCGAGAGGACTTCTAGCCCACACAAGGTCCTCTCTCGCCCAGTTTAAACTGGGGGAGAGAAGACTCATCTCTAAAGAGAATAAAGATGAGACACGAGATAATGGATGCTTGAGCCACAAGGTCTTGCGGCAATAATTGGATAGAGCTTCATATTTGGCCTCAGTGCTGGAGAGAGATACAGTAGTTTGTTTACAAGACTTCCATGAGGTTGTATCAATATCAAATCAATAGGTGTAGCCTGTGATAGATTGTTGGTAATAGTCGTCTTCAGCCCAGTCAGAATTGGGGAAACTGCTGAAGGTAGCAGGACCTCCCAAAGTGAGTTGCAAGTCACATGTGGTTTTCAGAAAAGTTAACACCTGTAGAGCTGCCAACAAGTGGGATTTGGAAGGATCACAAAGTAATTGGGGTAGTTGAATAACAACAAAGGAGACATCAGGTCTGGTGCATTGTGAAACCCAGAGAAAAGCACCAACCAAAACTAGCAAAGTGACCCAGAGATTTAGTTTCATTTTCAGTCCTTGGCTTGAGATCCTTAAAGAGATCATTGGCCGGGGTTTTTACTGAGGGAGTGGTTGAGGGTAAGGAGTGAGAGGAAATTTCTTTTATACAATGCAATTGAGAAAGCCAAGATTGTGTGCTGATATGCTGTGACTGATGTCAAGGGACAGAAAGTGAGTCAGCTCTTTGTTTGATAAAATTTCAAACTTGCACAAGACTGATGCAAGGATCTCATCTATGAAGGAATCTTGCCTGAAAATTGCCAGGTCATCAACATGGACAGTGACTACCGCAACCAGCTTGCTGTCCACAATGCAATAGTACAAGGTTGGATCATTTTTGGATTGAACAAGGCTAAAGGTGACAAGAACTGTATTTAACTTGGCATTCCGGGAGCACCAGAGGATTGCCGGAGATTGGGAATGGGATGGGAATGGGAATGGGAGCTGTATGAATGAATGGGCATACAGGAGTTGGTCAACACCCAATTGGTCTGCACTTTTCTTTTGAAACATCCAACAAAGCGCCACACCGTTGGCTTCGTGTACATGTATGTACACAAAGTTACGTTCTTTCCAATGATCACCAAGCGTTGAAAGGATTTGCAGTTCCAGAGCAGGAGCATCATCAACTCATACCCGCTTCAAAGCAACATATTGATCGAAATTGATGAGGCAAACAAGCAAAGCTCTTGGATGTATTAGTTTGAAAAACGATGTTTTTTTGACTAAACACTAATGGCTCAATCGAATATTATAAGCTGAGATAATCAAAAATGACTCAAGATTGTAAGAAAGAAACCAGTTAAGAGCGTACGCTAGACCAAACAGCACCACCAGCTTGTCAAACCAAGGATTGGCCTGTCTGAATTTCAGAGCACTTCAAGTGAGAGAAACACGATAAAGAAAGTAGAACAAGTCATTTGATTGACTCTCTTCCGATCATTGTCAGGTTAGTCTTGTCCTCAGAACGTTCTGATCAATGGCGCTTGATCGATGCTGATTAAAAAGTGACAGCTATCGAGGGTTTTTCATCCGGCTCTCCAGTAGGTCCTTTCATTTGCAACCCTTTACAACCCCTATAACTCAACTTAAGTCAGAGAAATCATCTGAAGAACTTGGAAGACTCTGATTTTGATGTTACAATGGGTCTGGTCAAGATTATCGAAATGTAATGTAGTCTTATGTCGCACGCTCCATTGTTGTACTCAGAATGCATTAAAAACATATGCAAGGTATGGTTTCTATGCCGGCCGATGGGACGAATGTTTACAAAGAAGGATGTGTATGTGCTGCTCAGCCTAAACCTCTGGACAGAAACATGGCGGTGAGTACAGGCTCATACAGCCCATTCCCATTCCCGCGATTCCCAACCTCTGGCAGTCCTCCAATTCTCTGGGCATTCCACAGTCAAGGGGATTGTTTCAAGCTGTCGATTGAGTGCTGTAGTTCACACACCCAATCTGGGTGATCAGGATCTTCATACCCCTGAGGTTGAGTTATTAGGATTGATTCCAGAGACAAGTTGAGAAATGCCAATTTGATATCTATTTGTTGGCCTTTCCATTTCTTTGATGCAAGAAGAGACAAGATTAAACACAGAGTTTCCAGACGGGTAGTAGGAGAGAAAACCTCTGTAAAGTTGATACAGCATTTTGAGCATACCCCATTGTGACCAGCAGGGCTTTAAGCTTAGATCAAGAGATCCATCAATGTTTTTCTTGACCATGAAGACCCACTTAGATTTGATAATGTTCTGTTTTGCCAGACGCAGTACCAGTCTCCATGTCTGCATAACTACGAGAATATAGAGCTCAGAATCTGCAGCCTTAAGCCGGTACTCCTTGTTGTGTGAATGTAAAAGTTACTTCCAGGTACACAGAGTGTCAAGATCAGCATCCTGATCAACTGCTGGAAACACCCAATTCCCTAGGCAATCAGGTGCCTTGGTGGTGCATGGCAAGCATTGTGATGGAGCAGAGACAGCTGTGGATGGTTCCTTGAGAGTTTTCCCCGAGTTTTGCCAGTAGGGATTGTTTTGCAGGAAGCTTGGAACTCAGCCCAGGAGAGTAGTGAGGAGGAGAAGAGCTGGGAGGATTGTGTGAAGCAGATGGCTGATCAAGGTGTTGACTCTGAATAGGACTGGGGATAGATGGAGGCGTAGTTAAAGTAATTCACAAGTACTGGAGCAGAGCCGGATGACAAGTTGTGATAGGAGATGTTAGGCAAGGGAGGAATTGAAGGTAGAGGGGAGGGAATTGCATCTGGTACCAAAGGCATTATTTCAAGCACAGCAGGAGGAGTGAGGTCAGGAGTATAGATTGGACACCATTGTGGTGCATGGATGGAGTTGGACAGATGTCTCTCTTATAAATAACAACATTGTCACTCAGTAAGAGAAGGTTGAATAGAGACTGGGAGATCCTCTGGCCAAGGAATGTGAGCCTCAACAACAGGAGGAGCTGTAACATTTAAAGTAGAGGAGTAGGGGAAGACATCATGGCAAGATAGAGCATCTCTTGATTTCAACACCTTTTTGTGACAAAGATCCCACAGCCAATACCTGTTCCCATCAGGAAGATTTGAGAGAAGGACTTGAGCCTTGGTGTCCAACTTACACCGGAGATGAGACCTTTATCACACAACTTTTCAAGAGGCTGATGTAAGAACTGCCATTTTATCCTCCATAAATCTGAACGGATGACAGATGTGCATGCCACCACAGAATCTTTCAAATCCTAAAAAATATGTAGTAGTCATGAACAATGGTGCATAGCTTCTCTCAAGTTAGTGATCCCACTGACCTCTGCATCTTGTCACAACTCACGACTACACTAAGCCCTTCCATCTCCTTTTTGTTTTAATACAGTGTTGGTTTCAAAATATACACATGTCCCTGGTGCCATGCTAGCACTTAAGCTTGCTGCTACTCTTACCCAACAATTATACTCCAGCTGCTAACACCATGTCTGTTTTGAGGTAGCATGTCGACGTGCTCGCACCAATCAATTTCTGTAGAGGGTGGATATAACCTACAAACAGGTCTGAGAGCTAAGCATACAATTGCCTTTGTCAAGAGGTTCAGACAGCAAGTGTGTTAAATGGGCTCCTTTGTTCATAGTTCCATTGACAAACGGTACATTTTTGATTGTCTATTATTATTAACAAAGGATTTGCATTTTCTAGAGACAAATTGAATAAAGATCCATTCAAATTTATTACACAACTCTCCGTGTGAGCACATCTGCTCATGGGGGACGGACATGGTGTAAAGTATGATATGTATCGTACAAGGGTGAGAGTGGAATACCTCTGGATTTGGTGTTATCCTGAACAAGGTCCTGAAATTATTGAATAGTCTGATCCAAATCAAATGTGAAAATCCAGAACATGCAACAATGAATCCTAAATAGCAAAGAGCTCATATTGAAAAAAATAGGAAACAAACATTGAACATCTTTATGACCTATGTCATAGATGCACAAAAAATAGTGGAACAGTCATCTGTTTACCTCGCAAGGACCTGCAGGATCAGGATCTACATCAAAACAATTATTTGCGTGAAAAAAGACGACCGACTGTGGTGTATGTTTCAAACTCACTTGAAGCACTCCGATCAAATGAATATCCCTCATGAAGTGACAATAAACGATAAATTGGAGTTTCTAATAATTCTAAACCTTTGTGTTTATTCTCTGTATCTCTTTTTCTTTACTAATTGATTTTGGATTTCTTGAAAGCCTTCAAAACACCAAAACAACAACAACCGAACAACAAACTATTATCCCAATTATTATCACATTATGAAATATTTACCGACCAATGGGTGAGACCTGGTGAATTGTAGAAAGAAACGAAATGTTGGACGATACACTTTTTACGAAGGGGGATCCTGCCCCTTTTCAAAACAAATTGAACTGGAAGTTTGTTGAAAGAGATACAAATCTGTGAATCCACATATTGCGATTCGATTATCGAGAGATTATGGGAGATGACTACTGATTTATCAATGTAACCTCATGACTAAATCACAGTCACCTTCTGGGTAGGTCTGATATACCAAACGGACCACTCTTTCTCATCATCGCACGAGTTTGAAGATCCATTTTCGCAAATCGATTCACATAAGCATAGACGGGCCATACTACGAAAAAAGTAGATTCTGAAGTATCAGACCAAGTGCTTGCATCTGTTGTCAATCAAGAGAGAAAGTTTGGAATACCAACTTGCAAATAAGGCTATCAGGCCAACAATCAATGTAACCATGGAGCCTACACAATCTCATACACATCAGTGATGCTATCAGTTGATGTAAGTGAGAGAAAAGATGAAATTTCAAAGCGTTCTGTTACCTAAGTTTAACCAACCACGTCTAGACCACATTGTGAAAGTTGTATCGGATTCAATGATATACCTTGCATGACCGTAACGGGGATAATTCTTCTCCATTGAATGAAGTAAATCAGGTATAGGAGATACTAAATCATCACGTAAAAATAACATCCCGTCACACAATAAAGTTTCAGCACTTGAGATCTCATCAGTAAATCCTGATTGCGGGCTACCATCACTACTAGTTGAGCCGGTTGTATGAGTATGAGCTCGACGATCATGATAACGAGATCGAGTGGGTGAATCTTGATCTACATTTTGGATGGCTGATTTGTATTCCATAAAGTGAGCAGTATAACGAGAGTTGAGAATCGGTTTTGGAATCTCTAAAACCAATTCGGGATTGTGTGGAGGTGTCATGATGACTTCAACCTGTGAATCTGGTTCGGGATAGATTGCAATTGATGCCATAATGGCCAGCAATATTTCGATGCCTCAATGTCAATCGACGCTTCTCTTATGGTGTGAAGGATAACGGCGCAAAGTTTTCTCTCTCACAATTGAGAGGTGTTTGAATATCGCAAATCGATTTCAGGCTGGGTAGATTGGGGGCCAAGTAGCACCTAAGAAAGAAAACAGACCACATTATTAAATCAGTGATATCAAGTTGACCAGATGAGAAGGTTGAAAAGTGAGCTCTACCCAATGCTGTGACGGATTCAACTTTTCACAGAGCAATAACAATCAAGCCATCAGTTTGAAGTGTTCATTTCCACCAAAATCTTGCCTGCAAACCCAGGCCACGAATAAGAATCGATCGAGCAAAAAGTGATGAAGACTTGATTAACCATCTCAACTGAGGAGACAATTCATTTATGAAGTTTTGGTCTCCGTTGGCTTGACTTTCGACTTCGATCGTTGATTGTCGGAGAAGGCGAGGTACCTGATTGGGTTGCCATATCTGTTGCTGAGGATCGATGAAGTTGATCATCCGGATGTCATGGTCAAGCCGAATCCAGAGACCAAATTATCAGTAGAATTTTCAACCCTGGGCCAGCAACGCAACGCGACGCTGCTCATGCTGCGTTGCGGGGAATACCGCAACACTAAATATATAGACAGTGCTGTGTCGCGCCTTTGTCCGCAGCGGGCGCACTATTAAAAAAAGAGAAAACCACCTACACCACAGAGGTGTCCTGACCACCTGCGGGCCGCCGCACATGGCCGCCAGGGGACGGCCGGTCCGCACGCTTGAGCGGGCCATCTGCTGGTAGTCAGTGGGAGAGCGTCTACCAGACGCAAACCTGACCACCGTGGTGCTCACCTCACATGCGCCTGGTGAACGGCTGACCAGGCTGGTTTGAACAACCAATTGACGGCCTTTGCCTCATTTTGGCCAAAATTTGCCGTTTCTGAGCTCAGTGGTAGGCAGACCGCCAATTTTGATTCATTTGGCACACCACTGCCTCAGCAGCAAAAAGAGAAAGCAAGGGGACTTCTGTTCCAATGCATTACTTCAACAAACAAAGTTGTCAAGGGAGGAGGTATGATCGGTGTACAAATCAAAAACAGAACAATGTCCCAAAGTTTTAAAATAAACGCCCATCAAACCAAAACACCCGTTTCGGCCATAGTATTGTATCACCACCAACAAGGCTTCCAACAACACCATGATGGCCCAAAATCTTCAAACTATGCTTCCTCACTTTGATGCAACTCAAAACATTCACGGATGCATTGCACTTGTCCTCAACCTTGTTGCCAAAGCCGGACTTGCTGTCTTTGATTGCCGAAATACCCCTCCTCCGGTAAATGCCCTGGATCCCGCCTTACCTCATCAAGATGGTTCTGTTCCCCTTTTCATCGAGCCTACCCCACATGCCAACATCACCAGTATTCTTACCCAAATCCAAGCCTTCCATAACAAAGTCAAGCACAGCAGCCAACTCAAAATCGCTCTCAACAACGCTATTGCCAGCTGTCAGAAATTGGAACGCAAGGTGGGGTTAGTTCACAAAGTCTCAACCCAATGGTCATCAACCCACGCTTCACTTGATTGATTTTATGAGCTTAAACGGGTCATCAAGTATCAATGCAAAGGGGATCCTTCCCTTGAACAATTTACACTCAAGGAGGACGAGTGGAATCTTGCAGCAAGCATTGTTCACTTTCTAGCTCCGCTAGCTATTGTCACTAAATCAATTGAGGGTCACAAATACCCCACCTTCTCGCAGGTGATGCCAGATTACCAATGGCTTGTTGAACACATTGAAAAGGTAAGATTCTTCCACTTTTCTTTCAATTTTTAATTCTATTTTTAATTTTTCACTATAACAAGTCGCTCATTCATCACTTTGTCTATTGTCTATAGGCCTGGCACAACTCAACATGTGAGGAGTTGAAGGTTGCAATGCTTCCAATGTTGCAAAAGATTATCCATTATCAGACCGCTGCCCAGAACAAGGCTGTTTACATATGTTTGGCAATTCTCAACCCTTGCCTCAAAATTTTTGCTGTCAAAGGTTCCACTCTAGAATATCTTGGCTGGGGACCTGAGGACTGGATCAATCACTTTACCAGCCAAGCCCACAAGTTTAGACCGGTCTTTGATCCTGATATTGAAATTGTCAAATCTGAAGATCAAGTTATCAACCCCAATTGTCCTCAGCACTTCATCAAGTGCCGCAAGACTGTTCTGGTTGAGGATGAGGTAAAAGAATACCTCACTGCCCCTCAAGAAGACAAAATATGTGATGTTCTTCATTTCTGGCTCACTCATCAACATCATTGGCCCATCTTATCACGCATGGCAGCTGCAATGCTTGTGGTGCCTGCAACCAGTGCTCCAAGTGAGAGTACCTTTTCTAATGCTCTAAGAGTTATAAGTGATCATCAGGCTTCTTTCACCCCACTCAATCTTGAGGCTCAGGTGTGTGTCAAGAGCTGGAATAAAGAGTATAGGAGTCAAATGAGTAGGAGCTTTAATTTCTTGAGTTGTTTCCCTTAGTTCTTTTTAATTTCAAAGTAGGATCATGTCACTCAAAACACATCATCTCTTTTCACTTGAGGTTTATAACACTCAAAACATGTCTTGATCACTCAACAAAGATGTGTGTGCTACTTCAAATTCAAATACAAGTCTCTGTTGTTATTCCCGCTCCTTACCTCCTTGGCGCCCAAAATTGAGCCAAGCCCTGCATGGCCCTGAGTCTTAAAATTCAGGGCGTGCCTTGATTGACCCGAGCCAACTTTCAAAGGCCTCCGGGTCCACCCAAGGCCTGGCCCGGTCCCGGGGCCAGCCACAAAGCTTCGAGACCGGGTCGTAGCCCTAAGCCAAATGGGCCCTTATGTGTTTTCAGTTTTGTCAGGTTTCAAAAAATCAGTCTTCTCTGTTTTTTCTTTTCCAGTTTTACACGTGTTCCTCTTTCTCTTTCATGCATGCCAATGTTAATAAGACTCATTTGCCTCTCGGCAGTCAAGTGTAGAACCGGCTGTTGATCTGCCTAGAGCCTGGGCCCATTCCCTTATCTGAATTCATTTTATGCTCAAAATGTTCGGTAAATTTCCGCACCTCTCTACAAGATCTAAAACCAAGGAAACCGGCTGCAAGGCAGATGATGTGTTGACCTAGGAAACAAGCTCTTGATCCATTACCTTCCCAAGAATTGTTCAATCCCTTCATGGGTTCAAAGGTCTCCATGATAAGTGGGCTAATAGACCTTCAAGACAATTTACCACTCAATGATTTTGTTCAATCCCTTATAATTGAGATAAATGATGCGCCCTTCTATTATGCGTGTATAGTTTTCTTTTGCTTGCATCACAAATCAGTAATGACATCATCAGTTTGAGTTCTCACAAAAGGTTATTTATTTCATTCATTGTAAACCTTTTTGCTTTATCAAACTCAAATCCTTTGTTTTACAATCTTCTTTTCATCAGATTGCAATTCTCTTTGATCAAGTGCAATTAGGGCCCGTTCGGACACCGCGAGCAGATACAATGTGGCCAAATTTCACACCAAAAAAGTTACATACGGCCACATCGTATCTCGTGCCAAACTCGACCAGATATTCAAAATCTGATCGGTGTTTGGTTCGAATATCTAACGTCAGTATCTGATGGAGAATATCGAGATAATCATCCATATTGAGATACAGCCTTTTGGCCGTATCTGAAGGCTCTATCTCGATGTGCCCCTCCATCCATCTTCTTCGTTCATCTCCTTCTCAACTTCTCGTTACCCCAACACATCCTTATGTTCTTCAATCCTCACTGCTCGGCTCATCCACCCTCACACCATAATAGTTTTTACTATTTTGATCCTTTTTATAATCCCATCTCTGTCTTGTTCAGATATTCTTTTAAAGGATATCGTTCAAGGATCTTCTTTGAATAGTTATACTAAACTTTCAAAAATTGCAATCGATGATAGTTTGGTTCAAAAGGTTTGAACAATTCTAACTTCAAACAGTAGTAGAACTAGAATTATAATTGACAATTTGATAACATAGATTTAGATGATGAAAATATTAAAAGATCAATTCAAAAGGTATTTAACAAAGTATATAGATGAAGAAATCAGCCAGTTAAATTATTAAAGAAATAAGATCGAGTTCAAAAGAAGAATGGCGACATCGAATGGAAAGGTTACAGTAGGATGAGAATGATGAAGGTCAACAATGACTGATTCAAAATTTTGATTTGAATAAAATGATAGATACAATCTTGTGTGGTTGTTATTGAACAGAAATATGATCCAAAAGAGGCCAACAGACGTCTGTTGACCTCTTTTGGATTGCTGTTCGGTAATCTCAATATGTATCTGAAAGACCACTATCTCGATGTGCCCCTTGAGATAGGGGCAAATCAAAATTTGGTTTTCAGGTCAGATAATATTTGAAAACAATCCGAACGGGCCCTTAGCTTTTATCAAAGCTAATGACCTGAACATCACAGGTATAGCACTCAATTCTTATGGGGTTGCAGATCTCCATGATAAGTGGGCTCATAGATCTTCAAGACAAATATTATGTCCATCTATTCAAGAAGTTGTTCAATCCCTCAAGGGTTTGAAGGGCTCCATGATAATTGGGCTAATAGCCCTTCGAGACAAACTTTAACAATAGTTACTCAACTTTTATCTTAATGCTCAATCCCTTTACGGGTTCGTGGAATCACACGATCTATGGGGCATTTATTATAACTGTTCTCTATCACCTACGAACCGTTCAATCCCGCCACAAGGTTTGGAGGACTCCATGATAATTAGATCCACTCTAAGATTCATTGATAATCATCACCGCTACCTTTTCCTTAATGGAAGGTAAAAAAAATAGACTAAAGTCTGCAAAGAAAGCTTCATCTCGTTATCAAAATAAACTTAACAAAAGTAAATCACACATCTTCTTTTGACCAGAGGGCCGGTCTTCCAAGGTATAGTAGTTCTTTCTGTTGTATGGTTCAGTTAGTGTTATATCCAATTTTAGCCAAAAGCACTTAAAAAATCAAAGAATCACGATTGAGTTCGAGTTCACAGCCTCAGGCAAGGACATGATTTCACAGGCCATTCCAAGACTTGTACAAGCTTGTGCAAATTGGTTTAAACCGTTGTTCGCTTGCTCAGCATTGAGCAAGCCAACGAAGGTATGAGCTGGTTCACAGGCTATGTAAAGCCTGTGAAATGGTTTTTAACCCCATCAAACTTAGACGAAATGCTTTCTTTTTATAATCTAAACGCTCCTCAAGCTTTTGACTCGTTAGCTTTGAAGCAAACAAATTGACACTCAATGCTTTTTAACTTGAGTGAATATAAAAAACATAAAGATTGTTCTGAGCAAAAGCGAACTTATCATGTTTTTGTTTTGTTTTGTTTTAACCTCTTTTGACCTTTACCGTATTGTAGTTTGGTATGATGAACACAAGGCTTACTCTCATTGGTTATCTACGGGGACTAATATGGACTGATACGGCTACGCTACCGAGCCCAGACTGTTTAGCTTATCGAGCTAAAACACGCGAAGTGAGAGAAAGTTAGACTCAACCAAGTCCCTCGCTGCTTCTCGCACGCTTAAAGTCGAGCGCAGCGATATAAATTTCTTGTGCGGCAAGATTCATGTCACACACACATCAAATTTTCCCCCGGTGTACGATATCAATTTCCCTCCGCTATTCAAAATGGCAAAATCAAACAAATCACGTTGAACCTCGTTAAACCCAGGCTACCATTTTCTTTTCTCATCCTCATGATCCTCGATCACCTGATATTTTTGTCCATTATTTCAAGTACTAGTCCGTCGTGATTGGCTTTCCATTTGACTTCCTTGACCTGGAAACATTCATTTCTTTTCCTTCTTTTCAAGTTGATCAACAACTGCCATTGATTCTTCTCAACAACAGCCAAGAACATCAAACACTCTCTTTTCATCGTTCATTCTACCTTGCTAACAACCCCGAGAAGTTGCAAATCAGTCAAGATCAATCATCAGATAGACTTCTTAAAGCCTGGTACAGTGCTCGGCAATTTTAAAGCTCAACAATAATACTTACTACAACTTCTGAAATGACTGAAAAGCAACATATCTCCTCGGACCATCACCGCAAAGTAAATTGGTTTCAATTTCCTATGAATATTCTTTTGTTTCCTTGCTTGCACGTTCACTGAGCATTTTTCTTTTTCTTCAGTTTGCTAATCCAGCCCCTTTGGGATTATGTGGTTCGGCTCTTCTTTTGATTTTTTTTTCGAAATCACGTCTTTAGCATTGCTGATATATTCCTGGCATATTGATTAGGATTTGCGGCCACTACGTTTCTTTTATCACTCTTCAATGTCCAGTCTAGAGGGATCACCACTCCGAATTTGATTGTTGGCCTCGCAATGGGATACGGTATGTTTTCATCCCTCTTATATCATCTTTTTTCATTAATTCATCGGCTCTTTTTCTCCCAGGTGGATTGGTTCAGCTGTTGGCCGGCATGTGGGAATTCGCTGCTGGTATGTTTATTTTCTTTTTCCATCGCTTGTTCCCTAGAGCACGGCTTTGATTAGTATTTGATGCAATGATTTTTACAGGCAATACATTCGCAGCTACGGCGTTTTCTTCTTATGGTAAGTATCCTTGTTGATGTCTTCAAAATATGTCTCTAATGGTGTTTTGGTATCCTAAATTTTTACAGGCGGATTTTGGATCAGGTTTGACGATTGTCAATTTATTTCGTCTGATAATCTTCCAAACTGATGATCGACGCCCATTCTAGCTTCGGATTGATCTTTTGGCCACAATCTGGAATCCTAGCAGCTTACAATGGAGAAAAAGTCATTCAACTTGAGAATGCCTTGGGATTATATCTCATCACTTGGGTTTGTTCTGCTTCTCTCTTCCTCTCACACTTCAAAACACAACGTTTAACATGTCATCCATTTTTTTGGTTTACTTTGTAGTTCATTTTCACCGTCAGTACACCTTTTCTTTTTGCAGAATAAAGATAAAAAGATCATTTATTCGTCTGGTTTGTTTTGCAGTTCATCATGCTCGTAGCTTCACTTCGAACTTCGTTGGGACTCGTTGCCCTTTTCTTCTTTCTCGATTTGACTTTCTTGATATTAGCAGTGAGTGGAACCGATACTATCTAATTGTATTGATCTTTATTTCAAGATCACTTACTTTCTGATCCTTTAAAATTAGATGGGAAAATTTCATCCCGAAACCGCTTCTATCACTAAAGCCGGTGGTGTGTTCGGTGAGTCTGAAGTATTTACTTTTGAGTATAGAATTATCAAGAGAGCTCATTTGTGTTTTCAACATCATAGGTTTGATCACAGCTTTTATAGCTTGGTATGTCGCAGCTGCAAATCTGTTGACACCTGAAAGCAGTTACTTTACTTTACCTGTTGTTGATCTCAGGTAAGTCTCTATATCAGTAAAATAAAATGCGATGATCGCTGACTCCTGAAACATCTAAATAGGGATCGTCGTGCAAGACGAGATTAGAACAACAATCTTACTTCAGAATCTCTTCATCCTGTTCCATTCTTGTTGAATATACCTATGATCTTGACAACAAGTTCCTTTTCGCTTCCTATTCAAGTTTTTAGTTTCATTGTATGTCTATCTTCAAGTGTTTTCTTTCGAGAAACGATTTTGTAGGATTATGCTTGCATAATTCATCAGTTTCTGCTCTTCCTTTTTTCATGAGTACATAACACAGTCCAGGAAATCCACACTCAATTTGGGTACCGTGATTCGGTTAACAGACACATGAGATGCGTAGACTCAAACAAACAAGACAACATCCTCAAGTTCTTCATAAGTACAGTCAATTGCAAAATGCTTGCCCCTCAACCCGTCCGAACGTATTGCGCCCCGGAATGTTCCATGTACAGCGTAAAGACTCGAGGTCACGTCGCCGTGCTCGCACAAAAGAGATCTTGTAGACAGTGGATACAAGCTTCCAATTCAACAGTCCTTTATTGAGTTCCTCGGGCGGTGAGACCGTTAAACATGGGAAGGTAGCTCTATCTCACAGTATGCCATATACTCTTTATATACACTTCTACTGAATTAAGGATAATCAAAAAGATCTTAACCAAACACTGTCATCATTCCCCAAATCCCCCAACCCGATAAGACAGGAACAATCAAATTATCATCCAAACCAAACACTTCTACAGCCTCAGCCACTGCACCGACTAAACCACATCCAATCGAAAGTCCCAGTAAGCTCATGTTTGATTTAGGAGTAGGTAACTGACCGGTAAGTCTGGCAGGCTGATGATCCAAAAGATAATCCAATACTGATCCTCGTAAGGATGAATTTGTAGATTGAGAGATGATTTGGGCCCAACTATAACCCTTGAGTACATCCACAACACCTTTGCTGGCCCATGATGACCAAAAGAGTGAAGAGGTGATGGTACCGGTAAGAAATGCTCCTAGAAACCCGGCCAATGATTTCCTTCGGGCGAATGGTGGTGATGGGAGACTTGAGGTTAAATGACCATATAATCTTCCAACGATCGAAGCGGATGTATCAACCCATGATAAAATCAAGATTGATAAAACGCTAATATCTACAAACAGTTGAGGTTCCAGATCAGATTTCTGTTACACTTATTTTTCAATGTTATGTGACAATTGTCAAGTTGGATTAACAGCGTACCTAGCGGTAAAGTTGAGAGACTGATGATAACCCCCAGCAAATAAAAGATGACTCCATTCCAATCGTTTTTCTCAGAGGGACGCATCAAGAAACCCAGCAAGGTTTCATAGAGACTTGAAAACCTTTTCGAATTGAATCGAAGTACATCTGCGATCCAGATGACTATCAAGGCTTTTGAGAGATAAACCGCTATCACCGATGGATTTCCATCTGCCATGTAGCGTTGCAAGGTGACAAAACCTGAAGACAGAATTCATGTTTGTTTATATATCAGAAAATAGATCATGAGCCGGTAAAGCAGGACAAAGGGTGCGAACCTATGCTTGAATGTAACACTTTCCGTGGTACTTCCCATTTCCTACACCATAGCCTCAATAAAAGCCACTTTGTCGGCTTTGAAATTTTAGGTATCTCTTCATTTTCATCATGACTACTAGACGAACCAACTCTATTAACTCTACGTCTGATTCGATTAGTTGAGCTTGGACTAGAAGTTCTTGAAGAATGATCAGGTTCAAGTTTACGTTTAGATGGTGAACCGATTCCTTCCATCTTATGAATTGAATGAGAATTGCAACTTTATTTGTCGGATTCGTGCTTCCTTGCTTCCTTGCTTGTTAAGAGATGGTGTCCAAATTATATCCAGATGCAAAAAGGAGAATGGATTGATTACTTTGAATATGATCGTGAAAATCGTCTTGAATTCCTGATTAAATAAAGGGGTCTTGAAGTTCGTGATCGACGTTATTGATGAATAAATGGATAACAAGGGGTAAGAGTTTATCAATTTTGATTTTCTTGATTAATGGTCGATTGGATTGATTGATAATTGTAAAACGTTTGAGAAATGCTGAGTTGTTGTTTCCCTTTGATGGTCGTTTCATCTCTCCTTCAACAAAAATCCTTCTTTATGGTCTATGACAGGTATTTAGGAGCATCCGGTGCGAGGGCTAGCTGACCCTTTAAAAGCCATGATATTATGGCTTTAGCGATCGAGGTGGCTGTAAGAGTTTTTCTTGCAGGTCTCCCATAGCTTAGTTGGTAGAGCGTAATGCTTATATCTTGACATTCATTACGAAGTCGATATGCCTGGTAGCACAATCTCGCAAGAGACGTTAATGTCACGGGTTCGAGTCCCGTTGGGAGAACGCTTTTTGCATCTTGGATCATTTCAGGGGCTTCATGAAAGCTCTTGGATTAGACCTGGCTCGAAAAGAAAAATATAATTCCAAATCAGCAAATACGCAAAACATTGACAATTACGGTGGGAGAAAATGACCTCCTACGAGATTTACCCTTTTCCCGTCATCCAATCTTATCTAAAATCCAATCATCCAGTCAATTTGGAGCACGCAATTTGTCATGAAGTGATCTAACTTTCAATGGTTAGACACAAATGAGCGGGGGGCAACCGGGTGAGGACATACCCTCCACAGGCTCCAGAGGACGCACTTTGTTGCGTTAGGTGAAACACGATTCCAAAGGGCTTCTTGACATTGCCTTCGGTACGTACCATCAGCGTGACGAAACTGAGTGACCAAGAATATATAATTGAGCCTTCACACAGGATGTTTCTTTGTATCGAGTAGCGTTTGGAATGACCAGATCGTGTTATTTTTGGTTCCAGTCAACAATTGGAGGTTTATAGAGGTGTGCATCCTTTCTGGGGGATGGTCAAGAGGTATTCAATTGTGCTTTGCTGCAGTTTCAGCTGAAAACCTTGCTGGAGTCGACCATTGGCTTCGATAAAAACAAGATTGACAAGTGATTAATGTCCAGGGTATCCATGATGTTTAGATCGAGAGACTGGTATCTTTTATTTCTCGAGCGTCTTTTGTTGCTATAATTCTGCGCATCTGGATGTGGGCTACTCAAAAGTAAGCAAAGGGAGTATGCTCTGGGCTCCATACCAGTTGGATTTGTCGTGAATCCGTCTTGCTTTCCTGGGATGTTGAAGTTTGTTTACTTCTCACTTAATCTCAAGAGCCCTGAAGGTCAAATCGCATGGTAACGGAGCGGGGTCTTTATGGCTCAGCAAATAGCACGCTTTGGGTGTAGTAGGGGTCAGGAGCTCTACAACACGGACGCTGTTCTCCAGTCTTCAAGTCTTCTTCTCTCCACTTTACGGGAAGGCTTCAATTGTATGTTGATGGTTCTGTTGGAAACATACAAGAAGCGTGCCACGAAAGAGTTGAATATATTTTGAATATTTAGACTTGAACCGAGTCGTCAAAGTCGTGGAGCCGAAGTTACAAAAGCACGAGCTTAAAGAGGAAGCTTGAAGTGATTACATACAAGCTCACTTCAACTTGTAGATCTTCCTGCAAACCAAGAGGTAAAAGACAGGGGACGTGGATCTTTGTGGTTGATGACTGAAGATGTGACGTAGACTTTATTAATAGAGAATCGGTCTTTCATCGACTCTTGAAGAGGGTTGTTCCCCTCTCTTCTCCGCATCAAGAATGATTGAATGATGTGAGCCTCAGGGGTAAACCAGGATCCATCCATCCTTTGAAGATTTGCTACGGAGAACTTGAATGGATTCAACGGCCGGAAATTGGTAGCTAGGTCAAGCGACACTGACATTAATAATCACATTTGAGAGTTGATCGGATTGGGAATGGGATGAGTTCCCGAAGAAAACGAATGACATACACAAGTCTTCACATCACAAATCGAATGAGTAAAAGATCGAAAACAATCATCGACTTCTATTTGGTGTTGATGACCATTTTTGAAAACCCTTTTTTAACTTTCGAAAGCAAAAAGTGAAGTCAGGTGCACTGCCAGACCCAGAATACTTCAACTTTCATTCAAAGTCACTTGAACATAAATTTAATTGGCAATACTGAAGACACCTATTTGACTTCTTACGAATTCTCAATCATCAAGTTTCAAATTGAAAGTCCCAATCATACCGAATTTGTTTATCTTGAATCCTCATAAATCCAAAATAACTGGGTAAGTTTTGATTTTTCTAATCTGCTCTTGAGTTGTGTACGTTCTCAAAAGTCATTCATCCACTTGAACGAATCCTAACCATCGTCCCAAAAAGAAACCCATTCAGCACACCAGATCATGACCACATCAATTCATTCACCGAATCACCGACAATCAATTTCATCCAATCTCAGTCTCACCAACACAACCAAACCACTTCATCCAACTTTCATCGTCAACTCAAAACGAAACTCTCATTCTCGTTTATCAAAAGATGATTTTGGTTATAAAGGTAGAAGGAAAGGTAGATTAGGCAAATGGTTATCAAATCGTTCAATATTCAAATCGAAATCTAATCCAACCCATTCGACTTTTACTTCTTCTTCTTCTCATCATTCTTTATCTGATTCTTCTGAAATCGTTGAACATCCTAGATTCTTTTGGTGTATTGGTCATTGATCCTTTTCCTCTTAACTACTATATGCTCGGTCTTGACCATTTTTTTCTATCTATACATCTATTTGATTTTCTCTTGACTTGACGTTTATGCCGCATCTCTTATTCCATTACCTTTACCTCAATTTCATTCATGCTTGATTTTCTTTTTTCTCATCTATCATCATTTACTTGCACAGATTTCCATTTGAAACAGACGTTTGTTTTCATCATCACTGCATCTTACATTCCTTCATCTATTTCTTTTTTGTGTGATCTTGTTCTTGACCATTCGATTTTTCTTCTCTCAGACTCTATCCAACTTACAACTCTTGTTAACTTTTGTTTTTTTTCAAGTCTTTTTCAAAAAAACCCTTTTGAAGCATGGTTGTGAAGTTTTTTAAAATCATCTAGCATTGTTAGCATTTTTAGTTCACATTCTTATCTCAGACTCAATCAATGTTGTGGAAATTTCATCATTTAGTCTGGACCATCACTTTACCGTTTTAAAATGAATAAGATGAGACGAAAAATCTAAAAAGGTTGAGATTTAGTAATCTAGTAATGTTTTATGTAAGCTTATAATGAAGAGAGTCCCTAGCTATGAATTTCTTTTGTCTGTTACATTTTGTTTTTTGGTACTGCGTAGTTGTTACTTGGTGTCTTTGCTATCATGAGTTCATCCCAAACCTATCACATCACCGTTCCTCTGCATAATGTATGTTGAAATGTACTTTTTTATTGCTATTTTTAGAATTCCTTGTTGCAATAAGCAGGAATTCCAAAAGATCACCAGAGATAAGTTGAACTCTATGCAATGATGATAAATGTAAAGATCTGATCTCAGACTCTGGAAGACAGAGCAGATCGTAATTGATCGAAGGGGACAAGATCAAAGGTAGGAATATGTAGAGGGGTTCAAGTCAACCAGAAAAATGTCTGAAGCTTTATGCACTTTGACCTCCCAGCCCCTCAAAATATTGTTTTCCACAAAATAGATTGCTAGGAATGCGCTTCTCAGACTCAGGTGGGTCTTTCTGACAGTGTTTTCAAAATGTAAAATTTTAGAGTAGCATTTTGGTATAGGTACAATTGTATAGGCATCTTTCTAACTTGAACACCGCCAAGAGATAAGCAAGTAGAAATTCAACATTTCTTTTTTTGAGATTTTTAACATTTTTTAATGTTTTTCATGTTGGATATAATCCATGTTCGTGATGCATGTATCCAGCCCAACAAGAATTGGCCCAAAAGCGCGGTTCATACAAGAAACGGTCATGATAGTTTTGAAAAACGTACATATCCAGTCACCAAAATCAATCGATACCTGATCATCCCTCATGATCATGTTAAAGTTGACTTGCTTTTGACAATAAAGAAAAAACACCAAGGACTACTGCGGTCTATTTTTGGCAATGTTTTTGCGGCTTGAAAATTGAAGCGGCTCGAAGTTTGGCTTGATGGTGGTCAAACTCAACAAGTGTCTCCTTCACAAGGTCTTGAGTCAGCGGCTTTCCATATACTTGACATTTTGAAAAAATGCACCAATGATAAGTTTAGCCAGCTCTGATGTTTACTTAAAATCTCCTTGGAGTATTGGTCAACAGGGCCTTCTAAGTTCTGATTTTCGAAATCTATAGCATGTGAATGCCCGGATCTTTGCGCTTAAGTCATGTTGTATAAGGTAGAATATCCTTTTCAGTGCTTTCTTCCATTATTAACTTAATCTAATCTTGATCAGACTCAGACCATGTGATGAAGGAAGCTTTTAGGGAATGATCAAGTGTGGATGTTACGGACTTCTAAGAGGTTTTACGCATGTAACAGATGATATGTGTATATTCAGATCCAGCCACCACCACCACACCCAGTGTATGAGTACACCACTGAAGTCTGACACTCTCAATCAAACCAAACAAACCAATTAAAATCTAAAAAACCAAAACCAAACAAATAGGTAAACAGATTATCATCATTTTCTCATTTTACCTAGCTGCTATCCTCAACTTTCTCAAGTTTGATTGAAAACTTAATAGACAACTCAGAACTACCTCTATCTCCTTTCAAATCAATCAGAAGGACGATCACGAAGAAACATATTGATGAACGGAAAATATTCGAATTTGTGAGCATCCATATTCCAACTACAAGGATTCTTGAATAATATGATCGATGCTGATATTTTGAGTCTTGATATCAAAGATTATTGATATCTTGATTGATATCAAGTTTGAGGTCAGTATTCTGTAACCCGATCATAAACACGTCACTGTGTGTTGATTTCTTTGGTGCATTGTTTCAACTCTCTCACGTCATCATTTCAATCCAGAAAAATTAATTCTACCAACAAAGCTTCTCGTCGTGAATCTCGAGATGCAAAAGCGACATACCACCTCATCTAATAACGATAATAATCTTCAACGTGATTCTTCACCTTCTCGACCCTCTTCCTCAACTCGTCTGAGTCAACTCTCAGCTCGACCTGGAATGATCGTAAGCTTACTTATAATTCTTAGCGCGTACTTTCTCTTTCAATCAAATCTAACATCAAATTGCACTGTTCTCTTCTTTTATCAGTCTCGCAGACGGCTTCTGATAGCCCTCGGTGCTGGTGCCACAATCTTTATTCTGTTACATTTCATAAGCTTTTCTGGATCACCGGCCGGTTCCTTACCTGGATTCGCCACACGTTCATCCACATCAAGAAGGACAGATGCTCAACAAATCTCGGCACGTCGTCAACGATTAATCCAAGGCTCATCTTCATCTTCCAGTTCAGGAATCGGTCCCGCCAATTTCAGTGATCTTGCTCCATTCACATTTTGTCCTACCTTTGGTGAAGGTGATGAATTAGGTCAAGTTTATGGACAACAAGCTATCCTTAAAACTCGTACCCATATTGGATCGAGTGATCGAGTTAAAAGGGTCTTGAGAAGGGCTATGTCTGGTTTACCGATCACAGTGGGAATCTTGGGTGGAAGTATCTCCAGTTGTCATGGATTAGATGCTACCACTGCTCATCCACTTGGAAATCCTATCGGCCCGAATTGTTATCCTCATCGTATTTTCTCTTGGCTCAATGACGTATTTCCACACCCGGCTAACGAACTCACCAATGGTGCACGTCAGTCTCAAATCAATTTTCTCCCATCATCCTCTTCGTCTTCTTTGTCTCGTCTGAGCTGACTAAATGTTTAAATTTTCATCTGTTCATCTTGAATCTTTCTCCTCCACAGTTCGTCGAACGGGTACTTCGTACTTTGGATATTGTTCAGCGATGCATCTTCCGGATCGGGTTGATTTAGTCATCGTCGAGTTTGATACTGATGATCCTCAGTTCGTCTTTACATAGTTCTTATCTATAATTCATGATCACTGAAGTCTATTATCATCTTCTGGGTGTGTTCAAATAGTGACCAGGAAACGATTGCAACCACTGATTTATTAATCCGATCACTCTTGCTTCGTCAAGACCAACCAGCTGTGATCTTACTTGGACATTTCTCACCACAACTACAAAGTGAGCACGGTTTTGCTGGACCAGAAGTCTGGCATTCAGCTGTAGCACATTTCTACGATGTACCCCACCTCAGGTTAGTGATTTTTTCAAAGCCACGATTACAAAACAAGAATACTGAAATCCATAATTCTTGGATCGTAGTGTGAAAGGGCTTCTTTATGAGGAGTATCTCGTCAACCCAGAAAAAGTGAAACAGTCATATTTTATTGATCCAGTACTAGCCAATGCCAAAGGTCACGAACTTTTAGCAGATACGGTGATTTCATTCTTAGAGAGCGAAATATGCTCAGTATGGGATCAAGCAGCTCTAGAGGCCGATTTAGCTGGATTGGCCCCGCCCATTATTGGAGATTCGGGATTCAGTAAATCAGAAAGTTTGAGTATGACTGGCTCGAATGCAAACACAGCCCCAAGTTTATTGGGAGGTAAAGGATTACGCAAAGGATCTGAACCGGGCATCGAAAATGACGAGAACGCAGCAGGATCGTTATCGAAAACAGCCAAAGCAGGTTATTCTAAAATCCCATCGTTTAGAATTCATGACAAACCACATACGATTTCGAGTTTTAGAGAAATCAAACCGAATTGTGCATCAGCAAATGATTTGATTAATCCATTACCACAATCAGTTTTTATTAATTCAGGTTGGGAACCTATTGCACCTAAGATAGATGCAGAAGATGAACGACATTATTGGTATAGTGAGAAAGGTGGAAGTTTGATTAAGATTCCCTTGAAAGTCGAAGGTGGAGATATTGCAGTTTATTATCAAAAAGGACCTAGGAAAGATGGATGGGGTAGTGTGAAGTGTTGGGTTGATGATAATACGGCGGGTGGGGTTGAATTACAAGGGTATTGGGATAATGATTTTGTTAGACCTGTGTAAGAGGATTTTTTTGTTGATTTCTCTCTTTGATTTGTTTGTTGATGGAATATTTGGGTGGGTTGTTTTACTTTTTTTCTAGGGTTACGAGGATTGATCAAGGTGTTGGAAAAGGATCACATTATGTTGTATGTGAATTACAACCGAAAGAGAAAACTAAATTCAAGGTAAGCTGATTGGGAAACTTTACAACTCTTTAATGATTAAAATAAGAAAAAAGTGAAGTTGATTGATTTATGGATTTGTCTTTGTTTGTTTTTTTGATTTGATAGATTTATGGAATCTTTTCTACATAGATTCGAAAATGGGAAAAGATATTTAGAGTTTAGATTAGGTCATGTTTAGTAATACATAGGTAAATCCAAGAAGATCAAAAGCATAATTTTTCAAGACACGATCAACAGTTTTTCATTTTTTTCTCTTTACTTTTTCTTTTGACTTTTTTACTCTTATATATATGATAAATAAATAAATATATATGTGTGTGTGTCTGTGTTTTTTTTTCATTTGATAAAGAAGTAGATTGAAGAAATGGTTTTGGTGTAAAGAGAGAAAGAGAATGAAGAGAAGAGAGAAGAGAAGAGAAAGAAGAATAGAAGAGAGTTTTGGGAGGTTGATTTTGATTTGTTCTTTGTTTTTTTTTTCTTAATGTTTTTGTTTTTTTTGGTGTATCCACAATGATTTTCTTTTTGGTTTTACTTTTTTTTTGATTTCATGATGATGATGATGATTTTTTGATTACTTTATTTGATTACATTTTTCTTTTTTTTTGAATTATGATAGATGAAACAAACAGAATAGAGAGAGAGAGAGAGAGAGAGAAAGAGAGAAAGAGAGAGATTTATTTTATTATTGTTTTGAAAAGTTTGGTTTTTATTTCTAAATGGTTTGAGGATTGGAGAGCAGTATGGAAAGTGGATATTATGATTGTTATGTTGCAATTAGGTTGACTTGATTTACTTAGAGCACCCACTATGGGTGCGTTAACGAGGTGATTTAGCGTTACCGTAACGCTAAAATCCAGACAGGTCCACTACGGACCTGTTTTAGACATGCAGTCCGTACTGCTGCGTTAAATCTTGCACCCCGCGTGCTCAGATCTACGCAAGCCTACGACTTGATTTATCGTACGATAATCGGTCAACAACTGCCTTTTCCAAAACATCAAATCCCAAACTCCACAATTCAAGACTTCAAATCTCAACGTTCAGACCTCAACACCTCAACTTCAAAGTTCAAACTTGAAAACTTATATAGTTTCCGAGCACGTTGAGTGCAGTCTTGATAAGTCTCGATCAATTCAGATTTGAGTGCGAGGAAGCGGAGGTGGTATGTGAGGTTTATCAAACAAGAAGTCAAGACTAGTTGATGTTATTATTGTTGTTCCTATTGCTATTTGAAGACTTCTGAGATAATTGATCTTTGGGAAAAGATTATGAGGAATGTGATGATTCATTTCAAGATCATACCACTGTGGATCTGGTTGACTCACAGTGATTTATCGTTGGTAAATCAGGTCGTAAAGCAGCTCATAGTGGTTTTTATGCGTTTACTAATTTAGTTGTTACACGCATGATTAAATTTCGCGGTCGGGACCGCAAAATTTACGATAAAACACGCCCACCATAGTGGGTGCTCTTATGAATGTTATATCACGCTGTGAGAGGCTGATCAGACCAAGAAGTTATTTTTTGCTATTATTAAAGCTGATGACACTATCCAACAGGCCAAGATTGTTGAAGCAGATGAGACTGCCAAAGGGGCTGTTGATGTTTCTGTGTACTTTTTATTCGTAGGTAATTTTCTACTAAGATAGATGCTTATACTGAATGATAGATGTGTAATTCGAGTCGGAATGTTTTTTTTGGATGATTTTTGATTTTGAAGAATTTGAATTTGAGAAAATCAAAAATCGAAAGAACTTGAATGCGATTTGGTCAACTACGATTCACCATCAGATTAACTCAATTCAATCAAACCTACAAACCATTCAAACTCAATCAAACTCGTCATTTTTATATTCAATCAATGGCAGACAAAGGTGTAGGTCCAACTGAACCAGGTTCATATCTCGATGAACTTACTGGTGAGATGGTAAGTAAGAGTGAATTAAAAAGAAGAGCTAAACAACGTGAAAAAGATGCAAAGAAAGCGGCTGAAAAGGTAAAGTGGATTTATAGCTGTTTGGGTATTTTTTTGTTTGATTAGTCACTGATTTTGTTTTGGATCGGATTGTAGCCTAAAGCACCAGTGGTTTCTGCTACCAAGAAAGAAGCTACTGTGGGAGCTGCTAATGCAGAGGAAGAACTCTCGCCTAACGTGAATAAAGTCTTTTTTTGAAAACGGAATACAAATTGTCTTTTGACTCAATTCGATCATCTTTGACTTTTTAGCAATACTACGAACTTCGTTGTCGAGCGATCCAAGCTTTACGTCAAGCTAATCCACCATTTTCATCAAGTCCTTCTGAAGATCCATCACTACCATCACCTTATCCACACAAGTTTTCTGTATCGATCGGTTTACAAAACTTTATCAAAACTTATTCTGATCGGGTTCCTAATGGTGGTGATCGACTTGATCCGGAAGATAAGATCAGTGTTGCTGGTCGGATTCATAATATGAGACAAGCTGGGGCTAAGCTCAGGTTTTATGATTTGCATGCAGATGGTCATAAGATTCAGATCATGGCATCTGCAAAGTACGTTCAGATTTCTTCTTTTAAATTATACCAACCATGTGCGTTATGTTAGCTAACTGATGAACTGTGGCGCATGTTCTTTGGAATGTTCAATAGTGATGCCGAAGACCCAGCCACGTTTGAAGCAGTCCATGATATCTTCCGTCGAGGTGATATAGTAGGTGTCACCGGATTTCCAATGAGAACGAAGAAAGGAGAATTATCAATCGGACCTAGAAAGATGATTTTACTTTCTCCCAACTTACATCAATTACCAAGAGCTGAAACATCAGTTGTGACCGAGAGTGGTACAACTGAAACTAAATTTGGTTTTAAAGATCAAGAACAACGTCATCGTAAACGGTACCTTGATTTGATCATGAATAAGGATGTTAGAGATGTGTTTGTTACTCGAGCTCGGATTATTAATTATGTTAGAAGATTCCTGGATGATCTTGGGTTCTTAGAGGTGTGTGAAATTCGTTTTGAGTTTGATTTCTAGAACCTCATCTTGATTCCAGTAAACTTGACAAATCTTGTATCTTTCTGATCTGAATCACATTTAGGTTGAAACTCCGATGATGAACATGATCGCTGGAGGAGCAACTGCTAAACCATTTATCACTCATCATAATTCGTTAGGTTTGGACTTGTTCTTAAGAATTGCTCCTGAACTTTACCTTAAAGAACTTGTGGTTGGTGGACTTGATCGAGTTTATGAAATCGGACGAGTGTTTAGGAATGAGTCTATCGATCTGACCCATGTAAGTGCTTATACATCTCGATTCGGTATCATTCATTTCATTGATACTAATACAGATCACCATACTTTTTGAAACTCGACTTTGTTTTTCTGCTTAGAACCCAGAATTTTCAATCTGTGAATTTTATATGGCATATGCAGATATGTATGATTTAATGGATTTAACTGAAACATTAATATCAGGATTAGTTTATAAAATCACAGGAGGATCGTATAAAATTGATTATCATCCAGAAGGATTAAATAGTGAAAAGGTTTATACATTAGATTTTTCTAGACCTTGGAAAAGGTTTAATATGATTGAAGAATTAGAATCACAATTGAAAGTGAAGTTTCCTTCTGGAAAAGATTTTGAAGATAAAGAATTGATGACCAAGTTTTTAGATGAATTATGTGTGAAAGTAAGTCAAGTTCAATGAATCCATCAAACAAACAAAGAAAACTGTCTTACAATAAAACTCAAGCTGATTTGAATGATTTAAAATTTTCTTGGTTTTAGCATAATGTAGATTGTAGTGCACCTAGAACGAACTCAAGATTATTAGATAAATTAGTAGGAGAGTTTATTGAAAACCAATGTATTTCACCTAGTTTTATTGTAGGACATCCTCAATTCATGTCACCACTTGCTAAACGTGATAGAAGTAAAGTAGGATTATGTGAAAGGTTTGAGACGTTTGTGGCGACTAAAGAGATTTGTAATGCTTGTAAGCAAGGATCTCTTGATTTTTTCTTTTGCTAATTTTTTTGACTAGAACTTTTTTCGATTCTTATTATGGTTTTTGACGAATTTCTTTTTGGCAGATACCGAATTGAATGATCCATTTGATCAACGTGAAAGGTTTGAAGAACAAACTAGACAAAAAGCTGCAGGTGATGATGAAGCACAAGGAATTGATGAAACATTTGTAAGTGATTTTTTTCCGAGTGCTCTTTACCATCTGACATTGATGATGATGATGTTTTTTTGGGGGGGAAATGATAGATTGATGCATTAGAACATGGATTACCACCTACTGGTGGATGGGGATTAGGTATCGATAGATTAGTGATGTTACTAACTGATAATAATTCGATTAAAGAAGTTTTATGTTTCCCTGCTAATAAACGTATGTATTGCTTTCTTTTACTTGAGTGTTTTGAATGAATTGATCAATCGATGACTTGAACTGATATATCTTGTTTTTTTTCTTTGTCTAATAATAGCTTTACCGAAAGAAGTTCAAAAAGAATAAGAAGTTTGAAAATTAATTAAAAAGTGAAGTGATTGAGATCTGGAATGAAATTTTATTAATTTTAGATTTTGAGACAATCCAAGGGAAAAAATTGTCTTGCTTGCAATTTTATAAAACAGTTGAACTTTGAAGAGGAGTGATTGATTGTGAGGGTAATGAGACATCATTCAAGAGAGAGATATGTTGAGTGTCGAGAGCGTTTGATTCTGTTTTGCCTGTTTACCTCTGATCCATATGCACCAAAGGCAAACGTGCCGCGCCATATATCATTACTAGTGTTTTGGCTCATATTGGAGTTAGGCCTTCAAAGGACAAATGAGGCCTCCCTCAACTTTCACGGTCAATTGATCTGATCCGTAAAACTCGAGAAACAGACTCGAACTGGTTTATTTAGTAGAATGCTTTTAAAATTTAGTAGCATTCGAACTGTATTTAAGACATAAGTGTTAAGTCTTAAGTGTGTTTAAGTTAGAATTAGGTCAAGTTTGAATTGGATCCTGAAAAATTTCCGATCAAGCACCATAATGTTTTCTTAAATCGCATTCTTCACTCTTTCAAGATAACACTGAACAACCAAGCAAGAAAGTCAATTATTCGAGCTTCATGCAAGTTAACTAGTAATTCACATACACTCGAAACCTCCCATAAAAGCACATCAGCTCGAGGTATCAGTCCATAACGTCGTCTTTAGGTTACATTTTAAGGTCAGTTCTCAATATCTAGTAGCCTCTTCTTGATACAGTGCTGATGGTTGTTTATTTTACGTATGTTGGATAGAAAGGTTAAATCAGATTCTAATTTGAATTTTATAAAAATGAAAGCGATCCGTACGGCTATTCAACTTGGCGCAACTTCTGGGAGTACTAGCGAATCAAAGATCGGTTAGCATCCAATGTCTATGATTCAACGTTTTTGAAAATATTTCAATGTTACTTTCGAAGATTGAAAGTTTTCCTTGAATCAAAAAGCTCTAAAACTTCTTCATAATTATCATTTATTGACGATTTCTTTTGGATGCTTTTTTTCAAAGTCCTTTCTAGATGCCGACCTCGTAACAAGTCAACCTTTACCCAAGAACGATCTTACACAAATGATGTATCAGACCCAATTTCTTCACATAATTCACGTTCACCTTCTAACCCTAAAAAAGTAGCTGCCTCCTTCAAGGTAGGACCTTACCGAGGTGCAATTCTAAGTCCTGAACCTTCGACCATTCCTTCTCCTACAACTCCTACATCACATCTCTATAGTCCATCCAAACTACGACAGATTCTTAAACCAGCTAAAGCTGTGACGTCTCGTGCTGTCTTACACTTTCCACATTCGAAGACGATTAAAGAACATTTAGAAGAACTTTTGTTTCCACTTCAGTTTACTGAACAACTTGCTTGTAGGATTGTGAGTTCTAAGAATTTGATTAAGAGTCAAGCTAGTTTGGATGAACTTAAGGCCGAGAGAGGTGATGTGGGATATGTACTCTTAGGAGAACATAATACAAAGCTTAGTTTCCTTGGTCAGTACTTCTTGACCCGTTTTGATCTTTCATTCATGATTCTTACCTTTATTTGATTTTTATTAGGTCGGAGGATGATGCATTTTGCTTTATCTGATTTTTTGATCAACGCTCCAATCGTTTCACCACTTACCACTACACCTTCTAGGTTATCCCCACAAGTATTGGAAAACGCTTTGTTAACTAAATTCATGTTAGGACAATATGTTGGAAACCAATGGGAACTTGAAAAGATTATGAGATGGAGAGAATTAGATGGATTGTCTTCGGGTTCGAGTGAGATGGTTGGAACTGGTTTATGGACTGCTAGAGGTCATACAGTTGAAGCTATTCTTGGTGCTGTGATGTTACAACATGTAAGAGATTGGTTTTTTTTTGATTTGATTTTGATGTTGAAGTTTGAATGAACGTACTAAGATTTTTTGTTTTTGTTTTGTTTGATTTGATTTGATAATAGGGAACTCGATTAAGTTTAGCAGTTTTTCATTCATTAGTCTTACCACATTTATCATTTAGATTAGATCCAGCATTTTTACCAGCTATTAAAGCTATTCAATTATTGGATCGAGAATTAGAACGATCTGAATCTGGTCTGTCTAAATGGAAAGAGTTAGACATAACACCGTTTTCAACTAACGAAAGGAATGTAGAAGGTCAAGAAGCGGCGAAAGTTGAAGGTTCGACTTAATTAGGATTTTTGATGTTGTTAGTTTGAATCTCGTAGGGTGTTACAAATGGAATGAAAAAATTTATAACAAACTTTTGTTGGGGTGTGGTGTGATGATCAGGCTCTTTGTGCAAACTTTTGAAGCGGGCCATGTGAGAGATATTAGAGCTAATCTTGACTTTACAGTTTAAACTTGAGAGGCGGTCAGATGGACTTGAGATCAAGGGATTTTGTCGTACGCTAGATGCTCAAGTATGTACATAACACGAGCGTGTAAGGATCACTTGGTGGAAAGGTTGTGGGGTCACTTCTGCCTGATCATGCTGTACATTGACACTGTGAATATAATGTGTTTCTCCTTAAAAGTGCATTAAATCTGCATTTTCTGCATTAAATCTGCATTATTAAGCATTTTGTGCATCAAGTTCAATCATTTTTCACCTTAGAGAAACACATTATATGTGCAGTGTGAGTTGGCCTGCAAAAGATGAACGGATGGAGAGTTTTGATGTTTAAATTTTTGGTTGATCATGCTTTTGGTAGCCCACTTGAAGCTAACTTATGATGTTGCTTTGAGAAGTCTTACATATCTTCACAGATATTACTTCCACTCCCAACGTTACACACCTCCCTAAGATAAGGCATTGTCATGGATTTTCAACTGGTACCTACTCACCAATTATATCTTACTTAAATGCTTAGAGCTGACTGAGGACCGCTAAACTGTCACCTGTTGATGTCATCTGTGGTACATAGCTACAAACTGAGGCCTCTTCAAGTGTAATTACAAGTGAGCTTCTAACTTTTCAACAGCCAATATTTACCAGATGGTTGGTGGCACTACCTCTAGTAGCACCTGTTGGTTGAGCAGTGATCAGTGGTCTGCTAATGCCTCATCAAACTATGGTAACACCTACCTGTCCAGCAGTGATGAGTTGACTGAAACCTCACACACATTTACTGTCTAGATGATTCCGGACAGGCCTGTGATAATAAAGAGAAATTTTTATAGACTACAACATACTTACCTCTCTGGCAGATACTTTGGACTGTGATATGAACTACTAGCCATCAATTGACTTTCACCATGTCGGTATCCTTGTAGCACGTCGACGTGCACACACGGAGAGTTTTGAAAAAAAACAGAAAGGTGTTTGGTAGGCTTTAGACTGAGATCAGTGCTGAGCACCCTTTGTGAATGATAATTTGACAAAAGAATTTGTGGGATCCTTTGTCAGCAGTTGGGGTCAACTGAGTGCCAACGTCCCAGTTGACAAAGGGAAGACATGCCTATTGTGGAGACCTCTTTAATGGCTCTTTCAAGTATGTATCAAAAGTATTTGGTGTGTGCACGTTGACGTGCTCCACGGATACGGACACAGTGTGTCAAAGAAAGTCACTTAGGGGGATTTTTTCAAAAAAGTTACTGGTTGAGATCAAGGTGACTAGTTTTTTGAAAAAAAAGTGAATCATATCCATAGTTATGATTGATCACTTTTGAATAGTCATCAATCATCTTTTAGATGGTTGAGCAGGTGTACATGAGCAATGCCAGCTGTGACATCTATTGTCTAACATATATCTCCTTACACAGATACTCTTATCTTGGCAAATGAATATTTCAACAGTTTTCCTGCTGTTTGCCTCAAATGAAGTTGTTGCTAGCAAGCAACTACCACACAGACAGAGTGAGATGTGCTGAGAAATCTTTTAATGTTGTAAATCTATCTGAAATGCATCTTGGGAAGCCTTGCTGTGCATCATCAAGCCAAATTTGGGGTTTGAACCTTAACATGCGCTGAGTCGGGTTTCCTTGAATTGAAAACACTTCATATGTGAATGCATTTTTCCTTCCAGTTAAGAATGTGAGAATGATTTGGCCTGCTGGATTTGTGAAGTCTCATTTACCATTTTGATCTTTGTTATATTTTGTTTCTATATCAGAACAATTTCAACAGCTGTGCAGCTACATTCAACATTTGAAAAAATGTGGCTCGTCATGAGTGCTCACAACCTGTTGGGCTAGTAGGTTTCTTCAAAGCCATAGCTGTCAGCCTGAGACTCTAAGTCATGGCAGATGACTGGTAGTTCAGAGCTGAATAGTACTTACAAAATGTATTCTATCAAGTTTTAGACAATAATTATTGAAACTTGAGGGAGATTATTTCTCAATTCTTTGTAAGTAAGTAAAAGGAACTATAGTCGTTACATATAGTTGTCTTAGGTGTGGGATGATTACCGCTGCCAGTAGCTTATCGAAGTGCAATCACGACAGTAGCCTTCTAAGGTGAATATGAAGGGATTTGTGGTTATTCCTCAGGTGACACTTTAGCGTTGATTTGATGAATTTATAATCAAAAAGGAAAATGAGAGACTATCTACAATATCAATTCAAATAGTAAGGAAACCATCAATTGATAAAGAGATAGTGACTCAGAGAAAAAAGGGTGTCTTTGATATGAAAGAAGATGCAATAAAGGATTCTAAACGATAAGAATTCTAAATAAGTCTTCTTTCAAATGAAAGATAAACAAAGAAGGATTTTGATGTAAAATACTAATTCAATGATGAGCTGCGGTAAAAGTGGTATGGTATAATAATAGGATTGTTCTCTTCTTTCTGGATGCATGGAATCCTTGTTTATATATTTGAGTGACTCATCTGCTCTGAGCTATGTAGACTATCAGGGTTTTCTTGGATGCTGTCATCAGGGTTCTTATCTGGTACACTGAAACCAGTAACAGATGATCCCTGTGTTGGATCACTGTCACTCCTTGACAATGGGGTCTTAGCTCCTTTGAGCTATGTTCCGATTGACCAGTGGATCCTTGTACACTAAATCCATTGTTCTGACAATGGGAGTGTTGAGAATACTCCTCATGGCTGACAATAGCTCTAGCTGCACTTGGTAACAAAATGTAAGAAAGATACATGTTTACAACACACAAATCATGCCAAGCATCACATAACATATGATAATGAATATGTAATACATTTATGGGTAAAATATTCCTGATCTGGGTGAATCAGACTGAAACTTCTTCTAAATAGATATTAAAAGTGTTCCATACATGTAACTTCTGTGATAATCATAGATATCTTAAAAAGAATACAGTTTGTCACTCATCACAGTCCACTTTTCAAGAAACATGTCATACCTGGATACTAATTAGATCTCCATTACCAAGTCCAAAAATAAGAATTGCAACTCAGTCTCAGTTTCAAGGGTCATTTTACATATATAATTACATACATATTGAATATATGTTGGAAGTAAAAAAAACTGAGACATGTAGCTTAGTCTTGTTCATAAATTCTTATCAATGCAATTGCATAATTAGGGTGGAAGTCAAGCCCACAGACTGTGTGATTTCATGGGTTATACTAGGTGAAGTATATGCCATGATAGGCCAGATTAGGGCTGTGAACGGACCCTAAGATTACAGGGCCAGCCCTAGGAGCATCACCTGATTTTGACTGGAACTGATGAATCTCTCAAGCTTCTCAGGGAAAAGTTCCAGAGTGGTATTTTTAGAATAGTAGTGACATTGTCAGGGCCAGCACCCCATAGTCCAGGGCACGCTGCAGGGATTTTGAGCTTGTTCAGGCCAGATTTGGGCAACCCAGGCTGTGCAGTGGCACACTGATGGCTTTGATAAAATATTTGAGTTTGAACTAAGTTTAAAGAGTTGTGCCCAAATTTGTTCACTTGGGTTGCCCATCTGGGGTGAAAGCTATTTGATTTGGCTTTCAACCCCTGGTCTTTTGAATTCAAATATGCATATTATTGTTTTTAACACTATTATGCAATGCAACAAAGACTTGGCCAGCACCAAGTCTGGGTAAACCCTGGGCTAAGCAAGATGATGGATTATGCAATTTTCAGAATTTAACTATAATAATATACAGCTATTGAAAGTGTGGTTGTATTTTTTCTAAAATGTCACACCACTTCAAATATAGATCAAAATGGGTGGACGTCTTTGTTGAAAGACAATATTAGTCTTGATAAGTTTTTTTGTGTGTAGTAGTGTACTATGTTCTTTTTTCCCATTAACATTGTTGCACATCAATCCTGATATGTTTTCTCAAATCATTTTCCCTTGTATGTATCTGATTGAGTCTCTTGAAACTGACTCTTTTTCCTTATATTTTGTAAAGGGAGTAAGTTTTTTTCTCTTAGAATCACTGTTGTAACCATCTGACTGATAATCTATCACTTGAGAAACACAGCTTGACTTGAAGAAATCGGTTACAGAAAAGGTTGTACTACTTCTTTATCATGGAGCTCTGTACATTCTGTAAGACCCCATGAGTTAGTGTACTTTCAACAAAGATTTAATGTTTAGGCATTCATGTTGTAAGCTGCAGTGCAAGGTGAAAATTACTGAATTTCTGCTCTCTTGTCCTTTAATCTCCAAAAGTGGTATGAACCTCTTGATTAACCAATGGTATTATTTAACAGGATAATGTATAATGTAGGTGGACCATATTCATTCTTATTATGTGTGGCAATTTGCACAAATGACGAATGTTCTGGTGGACCTTGGTTTGGTTTTTCAACCACACTGACCATTTTCCATGTGATACTTTCTAATCATCAATGCCTGGGAAATCACTTTGAAGCTACATCAATGAGGAGATAACAAATAGAAATTTTATGCTGTAATCATTGAGTATTGTCAATGATGGGTATGATGGGTTTGATAAAACAGACGCAATGGGATTCAAAAGCATGGCTAGTTTAAGCATTTGGCCATTGACATTCTTTATTCATAAATTTCTCATTTGGAAAGTTGAAAGGATTCTAGACTTTTAGATAGTGAGCTTACAGCCAGAAACCTTTTTGTGCACAGCTTATGTATATGCAAACCTCAAACAGATATGAGCGGGGTTTGCTCTTATGATCAGGGGGTCATCATCCATTTGATCTTGGACAAACACAGGTCAACTGACCAAGATTTCAAAAGGTGAAACTAGCCATATGCCTAAGCCCTATCACTTTAAGTTCCTTATTGACT